CGGCAAATGGCAACAGGCCGCGAGCGCCTGCAGCGAGACGTAGCCCTCGGCCGTGCACGGGTGGTGCATTGTGTAGTACGTTCGGCAGCGCGTGCCCGTCGGCGTCGCTTCCAGAAGCACCCTAGTACCACCCTATCAATGCACATGCTTGTCCGGTAGAACCGACCATTGCGTCGACTCGACGGCCCACGCTGTCGCCGAGACAGGCAACGCGTCATCGTGGAGGATCGAGCGCGCGACAACAATGCAGTGGCCCTCGTCGCTCTTGTCGAACCGACCAAAGAGGTAGTTCATCTTGAGCTCTTGGTCGGTGCTGCCGGCCTCTTCTTGCTGGTACCGCATCCAGTCCCGGGCGCGCAACGGCAGCGCCACGCGCGACGGCTGCCGCTGCCGGAGCGGCCGGTACACGTCGTTGAAGGTTTCTTCAGCATACCAAAGGCTCTCGGTGGCATCGATGAGCGACGCGCGAACGAAGAACTCGTGGGCCACGTGGGTCGTAAAGACTCCGTCGTCGCTCACGCGCACGTCGACATCGAGGTAGACGCCGCCGCCTCGGGACGGGAACGGCCGCTGCTGCATGGCGCGGTCCGTGTTGAATCGCAGCTGGTGGAGAATCCACGCGAAGGCCGTCTCGCGCGCTGCGGCGTCGCCCGCTGGGAGGTGCGAGTGACGCCAGGTGTCGCGAAAGTTGAGGCTCTACCATGACATTTGACAACGATTGCAAGCTCGAGCTTCGAGCGTCGAGCGTACTACCTTGGGCGGGCGCAGCATGAGCACGAGTGACTGCAGGTAGGTCGTGAGCGCTTCGACGTGGCGGAGCTCCTTCTTGAGGCGGCGGTTCTCAGCGACGCCCAGCAGCATGTCGTCCTGGAGAGCCCCGGCGACGTCCGACCATGGCAGCGGCGCGATGCGGGCACGGCCCAGACGTATCCGCGTCGACTCAAGCGCATGGATGTGGGCGCGCAGAGCGAGGACGACCTGGGACCGGCGCGGCTTGACGCGCTTGGTCGGTGCTCGGGCCGACATGTTTGCCTGCCCTGGTACGCGAAGAGCTGGTTGTGCGACATGTGGTAGTGCCCAATTTGGGGGTCCCACCCCGGCCCATGGGCCCCTTTGTCCATCAACCCACTTTGCCGGCTATAAAATCAAAATTTGGCTCAGCGCGACGTCAACGAGCAGCACAACTCGGTGTTGGTGCGCTCTAGGGAGAGGTGCTTCGAGGACATCAACAACGTTATTAGCAGTAGATAAAGAACCATGCAGCACTCTAAAAAGTGCAGCTGCCGGTCTTTATACAGCACAAGGGCAACGCTCTTTTTCGATCAAAGGGAGCATACCTCGCTCCAGAAGGTGTCGACTAGGAGATACTCGTCGTCGGCGACCAGGTCAGACACATCAGTAAGCGGTAGGTTTTATTCAATACCAAGAAGGACTGCAGCCGCAGTTGCAGCGTCAACTGCGTGCACCGCTGTACTCGTCGCTGTTGCTGTCCAGGATGGCGTCAGGGACATACCGAGTCACGGCAGGCGATACAAATGCAAACCAACGTAGTGGCTTTTACGGGGGACTCGCACTTGGTGCGGCGGAACACGCAATCGAGTTGATGAGGTGCGTCATAAAGAACGCGCGCTGCGTCGAATGGAGGCGCCGCAGTCGGTCTGTGATTTGCGCCTTGATCGTGTCCGCGTTCGGATTCAATGGGATGCAGGAGCAAGTCGCATAGTCGGCCAGCGACACGTACCCACTCGCAGTGCTCGGGTGGTCGACCGTGTAGTAGGTGCGGACGCGCGTCGTGTTCTCGTCAAGGCGCTCGGCGACGACCCACTGCTTCGTGTCGACGTTCCACGTGCTCGCAGATTGGCTCGGGTACACGTCGTCGTGCAGCACCGTGCGCAGCACCATGGTCGTGCGCTTGTCGCCGTCGTGGAAGCGGCCCATGAGGACATTGTCGCTGATCCTTTGGTCCGTGCTGCCGAGCTCTTCGCGTATGTAGAGCACGTCGGCGTCCGCGGCCAAGTACTTGCACGCGCCCTTGTTGTGAAAGTCGCTGCTGGCGGCAAATGCTTGCGTGAACGTCTGCTCGGCGGCCCAGTAGCCGCGCGCGACATCGGGTAGCGGGTACGGCAGGATCATTTGGGTGGCGACGCCGACGCTGAAGAGGTCGTCGTCGTCGCAGTGCACCGCTACGTCGATGAACGGCGCGGGATCGTTGATCGGGTAGACGGCGCTGGCCATCGCGGCCGGCGTGTGGTAGTAGACCTGGTGCAAGACCCAGTCGTAGGCGGCTTGACGGAACGCCTCGTCGCCCGCGAGCAGGTGCGAGTGGCGCCAGTTCTCGCGCGCGCCGATCGTCCGCGCTGGTTGCCACAACTGGACCCACTGCTGGAGCAGCGGCAGGAGCCGCTTGTTGCGCGCGATGGCCTGCTTGAGCGATCGGTTGTCGCGGACCTTGTCCAGCATGTCGTCCTTGAGCGCTTGTGCGACGTCTTCCCACGGAAGCTGTGTCGATGCAAGCGTGCGCTGCTGGCGTAGGAGCTGCTCGAGGGCATATGCGTCGTGGCGCAGCTTGGTGACGAGCTCCGACGTCTTGGGCCGCTTCCGGGGCGGCATGTTGCCAAAGTGCAAACCGGGTGGCGTAATCCGGATGCATTCGATTTCAGAGGTTTTCTACAGGCTGACGCTACCAGCCCACTCTCAACGACCACTCTGGCCCCCGTTCGCGCCTGCGCTTGTATGATAGACAATGCACAGAGCGATCGGCTATGCAAAGACCACAAGATGGCGGTGGACGTATGGAGCTCGTGTCGTGAGTGCTGTCGCTGCGCCGTGCCTGCGAGCTGCCAACTCGAATGCGGTTGCAGCGTAGTAGAACGCACCTCGAGGAGACTGGAAACATCGTCCAAATGTGGTACGTATGCCAAGGCGCACGGCTGACCCGATCCAGACCGATCGCGCGGGAAAAAACATCGAACGCATGCGGAGAGCCGCGCTCTGTCCGGTGCGGACGATCTTTTAGGACGTTAGTCGCCGCGAAGCGAATCACTTGGCTGCGTGGAGGCTACACTAGTTGACGAAAGAAGTGCGCGAGGCTTGTCCAAAATCAACTTGGCATCCACATAATAAGGGCGCACAGAGAGGCTTGTCCAAACTCAACGTGGCATCCACATACGATAAAGTTTTTACGAGGTTCGGCTAGCTCGGCGGCGCGCGAGGACGTGGTGCAAATGGGCCTCGAACCGGCGGCGCTGGTCGCGCTGCTGGCGCTTAAATTTGTCTTGTAGCTGGCGCGCTGCGTCGTCGTCCGAGGTAGAGTGGACTTTAACGCACTGGGCAAACGTCTGGATGGGCACAAACCCGACGCGTGTGCACGGGTGCAGTAGCCGGTAGTAGGTCCGCAACCGCGTCCAATGGGCGTTCACACGTTCGGCGACGACCCTAGCCACACACATACCAATATTAGTCGACTCGGCGATCAAGCGCATAAGCGAAGAGAGCGCACCACTGTCTTGTGTCGACGGTCCACGCGTCGTCAGTGACAGGAAACGCCGCGTCGTGCAGGACCGAGCGCATGACAATCACGACCTTGTCGTCTTCGTAAAACCGCCCGTAGAGCGTCCGATCCACTATGGTTTGGTCCGCGGGGCCCATGTCTTCTTGCGCGTACGCGAGGTCGGGCGTCGTCGCGAGCGCCTCAAAGTGCGTGTCGACGCCGTGGTCCACCTGCACAAACGTCTTGTCAGCGAGCCAGAAGCCGTGCGAGACTTCCTCGAGCGAGTACGGAAGCATGAGCTGCGTCATGCCATGGATCTCAAGCACATACGAGGGCGTCACGACCACGTCGATCTCGACCGCGGACGTGTACGCGTTTGGAAAGGCAAACCGATGCATCTCGCGCGCCGTGCTGGCGTAGACTTGGTGCATGATCCATTGGCAGCCAATGCGCCGAGCGCTCTCGTCGCCAGCAAATAGCGTCGCGTCTCGCCATGACTCGGCGAACGCACACGGCGGCGTCTATATAATAGCGATGAGGCGGCATGCGACAGGATGCACTACGTGAAGCTGCCGGCTGTCGACCCACGCTGCCAGCGCCTTGCAGATGCGGTCGTTGGCTCGAAGCTGCTGGCGCAGTGCAATGGTTTCGTTGCGCTGGTCAGCGACAGCGGCGGCGAGCGCAGTCGCGACCTCGACCCATGGCAACAAGGACCGGCGGCCATGGTGGGCTGCAACGCGCTGCTCGAGGTCCAGAACGAACCGCCGAAGCGCGCGGATCTCGCGCACGCGCTTGCACTTGATATGGCTCTCGTCGCCCGGTCGAGGCGCAAGGTACGGCCGAAGGCGCGGGCGGTCCATCGCTGTGTGAGGTTTTGTGTTTTTAGACGCGACGCCATTTTGGGACAATAGAGGGTATATAGATCCCTCTTTTTGTCACGGGAAGGCGCCCACGAGGCAACTGGTTGAACTTGGTGGCGCAGGTCGTAATGCTAGGTCTTCACTTGGACGGACAACAACACGTCAATAGCCTTACCAAGGACGCTCGGTAATAGTGTTTGCGTAGTTTGATAGCTAAGGTGCGTGTTCATCTCGCACGAGTACAAGGAATGGACACGATCGTCCGTGTCCAGCACCACCGACGCGACACTCGTTGGATGGTCGCGCATTACCTGGCTGCCCGCGAATCCACGGCAACGTATTTGACTCAACATTCGTGCGCCGCGTTCTGTGGTTGATTGCTAGCGGTTCGGAGGTTGACGCAAGCACGACGCTCAAACAACGCTGTGCACCTATGAAGCGCCGCCTGAGCAATCTGAGAACTTTACAGCTCCACTAATCCCAGCACTAATAATCCTACGACTCGATAGTGTACAATAGAAGGATCCAGCTCAACGGTGCTGCAGTACAAACACTTGGTATGCGAGGACACGACGCGCGAGAAAAAGAAAAAAAGGTGGGCGCCCCCAAAACCCGTCCCGTCAAAGGATCCGAGCTTTCTTTCGTTGCAGCAGCATGTGCGGTTTCACGCATCGATCGCTATTGATAATACTGTAGTGCCACAGCGTGCGATGCGCTCGTCAACTAATCGCTGGTTCTATGAGCCTGCGCTAAATGGAGCCGCGACTGTAACTCACTCGCTACAGCCATCGTGGTCGAGCCGCAGCCGGCACCACACGTGTGTCCTTTCTACACATCGCGTAGTACCTATATACTTTCTATCGCGTTGTTCATCGACTCTGTTCTGCACCAATTGCATGACCATACCTACTTGAACGGCAAACCGTGGGCGCCAAGGTGGCTAACCGAGCGCGCAACCGTTTCGCGGTTGCACCAAGATCGTCCGACGATGTCGTTTCCAAACGAGCCAATCACACGCGCGTCTGGTCCCGCCACCTGGTTTCAAAGGCATGGGTCGCTGGCTCTCAGTCTCCAAATCTCATTCAAATCCCACGCAACTATGCTCTCGACGATCTCGCGGCTACACGCAGCGCAGGCGTGGCGCGAAGGCTACACGGACGAGACGATCGCCCGCGTCAAGTCCAAGCGCGTCCATGAGCTGCACGAACTCAAGCGCTACATCCATGAGCTCGAGACCACCGTCGCGCGCATCAAGCGGCAAAAGACCTCGGTGCTATCCTGGGAAGACGTCTCCAAGGCGCTCGTCGACGACACGCTCGACCATGTTCAGTGCAACATGCGTCTCCGAAGCGAGTGCGACTACAACCGGCGCGTGTGCCAGTTTTTAAAGGACTGGGTCGACACCATGGTGCCTCCGCGAGTACGTTTCTTCCGCATACACAAGTCCTTACCCAACCTGTCTGTAGCTCACGCCGGGGCTAACGGAAGATACGTGGCGCCATGCGACCATCTTTGCTGGCGACGTCGCGACGCGTCAAGTCGGCTACACGTGGTTAACGCGCCAGGTGTACGCCAACACGGACCGAGCGTTGGCTCGGCTAACGTTCCCCGAGGACGCACAGGATGCCCTTTCCGTCCACGTCGACCACCGCGAAGACGACAATACGGTCCATATCGAAATCCAGGAGCAGACGATCTGGCCCTTTGCGTATACCGACGTTGTGGCAGCGTGTGCGATCGCGACCAAGACCTTTGTCCAGACGGTGCAAGCGCGAAGGGACTGCGTCGAGGCGTTAACGCCTGTCGACGACGACATTACGTACGTCCAAGAAGAGATGGGCCGCCCGGACCGCCAAAGCATATTCGGCAACGTCCTCTATGGCACGTTCCTATCCGGCACACGGCGCGCTGTCATGGTCAAACGCTCGATCGTCAAGGACGAAGCCCATCCGATTGCGAGCTCGGTTTGGACGCTCGACTCCAAGGGCTGGTACAGCGTGGCAGTTTGCAAAAAGAACGTGATGCATCCGAGTGATGTAGGCTCGTCGTTGACCCGCTGCCCGATGGACGCACGCGCGTGCGCATGCTCGATGTCGTGGGCCACCCGTGCTCGGCCCGCGGGTTCGTGCCGATTCTAGACCTGGCGGCCATGCTGCAATTGAAGCCGCGCAACGTTGACGACGCCGTGCGACTCATGCGCCAACACTTTGCCGTGAGCCAGGCCCACCAAGCGAAGCAGTTCAAGGACCTCGTCCAGACGCTGCTCCTGGAGCGGCTGCGCCAAAGACCAGATTTGGTCTAGCATATTTATAAAAGAGTCGTTGGGATGAACACGATGATGGAACGATCCTCGTGGATTCCTAGGCTGCGGACACCGATAGGTGCGTTGAATATTCGCGTCCTGTCGACACAATAGGCAGTCGAACGATTTGAAATCTCGGCCCTGGTTCGACTCGGACTTTGGATTGCACTACTGCCGCGCACGTGCGTTAGCGACTCGTTCGTAACAAGCTTGCTATGTCTGACGACCTCACGCATGACACTCAGCCCCCTTCGATTTGGTTGACACAGTAGTGGCTCATCCAGTTCGCAGCGGCGCCAGTACGCGCAATACTTTCACCCCACGAGCGTCCTAGCGACTGTACACTCGCCAAGTGCTTCGTTTCTGGGACGAGGGACCTCCTGCTTCCAATCTGGATCGTCCAAAAACAAAACTTTATCTCAAGTGCAATGTGACAGTGCTGGTTCCAACGGCGTTTTCTCGATGGCTCTGGACAACGCAGCGCCAACTGTGGCACGAAGTAAGAAGCCATCGATCGTCATGATGAGCGCTAAGATCCACCCAGAGCTCTCTGCGTACGAAGCAGCCGTGGAGATGCTGCACCAATCGGCAAACTACGTCTACCAGAGTGCGCTCGCGTGGCACTTGCAGCCGCAGCTCGCCATCGACGGCGTCGACGGTGCTCTCTCGTGGCCGACGACGCACTATCAAAGCCAGCAACTTGCAGCGCGCTACGCCCACCACTGCATCCTTCCAGCGACTTGCGTTCGCATCGCCAACAAGGCCGCCTGGACATCGCTTCTCCAAACGAGCTTGTTGCCCGCTGTTCAAAAGACGCTAGGTGTCACCAGCATCCGAGTCGGGGCCGTCTACTCTCATCTTTGCATCGATGCGCACGGCTCGTCGGCGAGCCTCACACCGCGACCAAACATTGCTTACGCCTTTGGGACGCTCCTCATCACGCTGCCGGCATCGGAAAAAGGCGGCACGATGACAGTTGCCCGCGGCAGTCACTCGACAACGCAGTGTCCATCGCCATTGACGGCACAAGTCTTGGCGACGTTCTCGGATGCAACCATCATGTCGGCGCCTATCACGTCACGTCGTCGCGTTGTGCTTGTCTACGCACTGGTGGCTGTCGATGGCGACGTCGTTAAAGTGCCGCCGACCCGCACCGCCGCCCTCGCCGCGTTGACGGCGATCGCCGAGCGTCCGCCGCTTCGACTGCAGCGCATTGGCGTTCGCTTCAAGACGTGCAATCGGTGTCGCATCGCTTCATTTTCGGACCTTGGGCCACAGGACGCTACTTTGGTCGACGCTCTTTTGGCGACGGGCCGCTTTGACGTGGCGCTCGTCCAGCTCAAGGCACCCGCTCTTCACTATGGCGAGAAACGCAGCTACATTATCACCAAGGCCATGCTACACCCCGCGTCCTCGATGCCCTCCGACATCGCCGTCACAGGCCATTCGGTCGACGCAGTTGTGGGTGCCCAATGGCATGGAGTCATTTGCTGCGCTTTCGTGTTTTGGCCCTCGTCGTTTCGCACGAGCTTTGTGGGCCTCGACCTCGCGCTGCGTCTCGCACACGGCGCGATCGCCACGACGGAAGGCACTGGTCGCCTTGGGCTGAGCGTCCGCGATCTTGTTCGCGGAACCGTAGCCACCTTTGCAAGGACGACACCACCGTCACGTGCGAGGAGCGTGGCGCACCTCGTGGTTCAGAGCCGCGACGTGGACCTCGTGGACCGTTATCTGCGTGATGTGATGCCGGTGACCACCACGCTGGGCGACATGGCCACTACCGTTCATACGTGCTTGCACGCATATGGCTGGACGACAATCTATCCCGCGCTCGAAGCCTTTTTGGAGCGCTGGCTGACGGCACGTGAAGCGAGCGGCGTGAGTCATCTCGTCACGAGTCTGGCTGGCATCTTCACCGGCGTCACCGCGCTGTGCCCACCGTTGCGACAGCCCTTTGTGGGCGAGTTTGTCAAAATGTGCTGGCAGCATTTGCTCAAGACGACGGCCCCGCCCATGCAGCATTGGATCCTCGTGGACGCGTACTTGATGGACAAAGTGCCGCACCTCGTGCGTGGCAACTGGCTCGACGTGCGGCTACCGCCCGCGCTCGTTGGTATGGTCGATGGTTTTCTCTATGGACGCTTCTTTGTATCGGCACTCGCACGCAAGCAGGTGTCGGCGTCGAAGCAACTCCAGCAGCTGCCATTTGGGCTCGTCCAGGCCATTGCAAGCCACCCGACGCTGCCCCAGCAACGGTACCTTGACGTGCTGGCGACCTCGATCAACGAACTCGTGCGCACCAGTGTCGACGTCGGGCGGGAGAAACCGCAAGCCGTGTCGTCGAGTGATGTTGGCAACATCATGGATGCCATGCACCGTCTAGGCTGCATCAATGCGGCACTGCTGACGGCGTGTCGAGTGATTAGCAGCCCCGAGCGCGTCGTTGCCGGTCTTTTGCTGTTCCTACAGCTGCCGGCACCACCCTTGCTGCCCTCGGCGCAGTCGGCCATTGCCGACTTTGTCGAGTCGGCGGCCCCGACGTTCCACTATACCGACCACACGCAGCACGACGACGTCCTCTCTAGCCTCGTTGACGTGATCGAGGTGCTCACGCTCACTGCGCCTCGCGAGGTGCTGTCGTTTGTGACGGCCTGGTGTGCAGCGCTGCCCGAAACACTGGACGCGACCCGCTCGAGCCTCTACCCCGTCGTCGCGATGCTCTATAGCCGGTTTCAGGGCAAGGACCTCGACCTTGTCGTGCACCTGGCGGAGCCGTGCTTGGCAGCGTTGCTACAAGGCGGTGCGCTCACCCCGGTGCCCGCATTGAACGACTTTGTCTTGACGGCCATCGACGTGGACGCAGACCACTGCGACGAGTGCGCAGCGTTTGGTGCTTTTTGCTCGATGGCCACTGCATGGAATTTCGGTGCGAGTACGACGACGGCCCCTGCAAAGCCCTCGAAGAGCTCGTGAAGGCCTACCCGCTCCAGCTTTTGCTGGACCAAGTGGACGGAAGCGACGACTCGGCGAGCGACTCTGACGACGAGCGTTCGGCCAATTTTTTCATTTGGAAGCGAGCGCAACCCGGTGGTGCAACGATTGACGACCTTCTCGAGTATCTTCACCGCAGTGCACAGCGGCAAGGAGACATTGCGCGCGTTGCAGTGCTCGACGAGGTGCTCGCACTCCATGCGGCCGCCATGGACGTCGACGCACCTGCGCCAAAGCGCCCACGTCATGAAACGTAGTCGACGCTACGCATCTTTCTCTGTATACACACACGTAACTTTTCTTTTGTTCGTTGAATTGAGGGGTTTGTCTAGCCTTTAGCGACCGAGCTCGCAACTATTGCAACTCCTGAGCTGGCGGACACGCCCAGCATTTGCGCGACGCGAGCGAGAGCAGCTCCCGCGACGCACTAGGTCAGAATGCGAGGTGAAAACTGCTCGATGGCGCTGTACGCATTGGTTGAATCTTCACGCCCCCTCCTCCTACCGCGATGGGAACCGTATGGGTTAGACAAGTCAACGGGCGCACCACGTGGAAGGTATCGTATCTCACTTCAACAACAACAACTGTAGCGTTGCTACAGTTCTGCGACCCTCTTTCCGTTTGGAGTACATGCATCAAGAACATTTGTCATCTTCTCGGCATCTCGATATGGCAAAAAACGAGCGTGGTTCGTGGATGCGTTCTCAGTTTCTGATCTATCATCTCGGTGCTGGGACGTCGTGCGGCACCGATCGATTAGGTGTTGGTGTTTTGTTTTTGGGGACCCACCCCACTGGTTTGTCCGTCCGCCATTGGGGCATACTCCCATAAAGGACAGGCCTTGCCGAACGCTCGCGACGCCGTGTACAGCGCCTAGCGAGGGGGATGGGCCCATCTTCGTATGTCACAAAAGCTAGTTCGATTGGAATCAATTGACGTGTAACTGGTTTCGTAACTGTACTACCTGACGTCACCACGATGCCAGACGTGCTCACCTCACGCGCACTCGTCCGACATCAAACACACTCACGTGATAAGTTATGGCGACCCTTGCGATAGCGTGCTTATGGTACAACTCGATTTTGTCACCACTGATGGCCCACTGCGACTGATTGCCGAAGGGGGAGACATCTGGCAACGGAACGTCACTTGGTGGTACGCTCTGTCCATGATCTTCTTGACTAAGCGGCCATGTGCTCGGTCCCGCACCACATCTGCTCGTGATAACTCGCATGTGAAACTCCTCCAAGAGCTCGTATCTTGGAACTACGCACTGGGCTCGGAGTCATCACACACCCGATTAGACGAGTGTGTGGCCATGGAGCAATCGGTGGCGACGGAGTAATCACACAGCAATATGGTATCGAGGTTGGGACTCTCCACGGGGTTACCACGCGTCACCGGATATGGGCTTCACTACCGGTCCTGGTAGTTATTAGATCAGAGGCGCATCCGTACTATCCCTTCTTGCCGCGTCTTTGCCTTCTTGGGCAGTCCATCACAATGTCGTCCAACGCAAAAATGTCTTGTGGGTCACGAGGAATCGCACGTCGACGCGCGCTGTCCACCGACAGGAGAAGAATTCCGCTTGACACACGAACCGCGACTCGACTCTGATTAGTATCGTCTCGCTGTAATCTGCTTGTGATAGGACACGGCAAGGCTGTGATGGACACCCTGTCAGGCTCGTGGGACATACTAGTACGTGCATATGATGACCGTGCATGATGCGCTCATACCAGGCGTACCAGCCACAAGAGCGTCACGTCACTCACTTTGCAACCAGCCATGGCGGCAACAAGCACACCGCTCTACACGGACGTCGAGGCCATCTTGAGCCGCTTCCGCCGCAAGCGCAGCAAGCAAATCGCATTCTTACGGCGGTACCTCGACGTGCTCCAGAAGCGCGTCACCCACCTTCAATGGTGTCACTCGACACTACTGAGCTGGGAAGACGTCTCGAAAGCACTCGCGGAAGACACGCTGCACAGAGTCCGGGAGAACCGATCGCTGAAGCGCGAGGTCGCGACTTCCGAGGGCCTGCGCACCCTCCTCGCGGCGTGGGTGAGTGCCCACGCATCGCCTCACGTACGTTAAAACTCACTTTGTCGTCTTGCAAAACATCTCACGTCAAAGTGCGTAGACGCGGACCCCGGGGCACGATCCGTGGACCACCGCACGGCTCTTCAACGGTGCCCCGGACGCGCGCAAGGTCGGGCTCGAATGGATCTTGCAGCAGAGCTACCACAGCACATCCAGTGCGCTGGCCCACGTGTCGGCAGCGCTTCACGGAGACGATGACGCGGTCCGCGTCACCATGACGTTTGATGGCGCCGAGATGAGTCTCACGGTCACCGCGCAGTGGGTCGAGCCGTACCCGATTTCGCATGTCGCCGATGCCGCGTGGAGTGCGAGTCGGTCGTTTTTAGCGACGTGCTGTTCACAGCAATCCGACTGCTCGAGCTTGCGCGCCGCTGTGAGCAGCTACGTCGAGTACTTTCACGAAGACGTTGGCCCCCCGAGCCAGAAGATCGTTTCTAATGCACTCTACGGCCGATACGACGCGCCCCACCGCACCGTGCTCGTCATGCGCTCGGTTCTCTCGGACGAGGCCCACCCTGTGCCCCCGGATACGTGGTGCGCCGACTCGCGTCAATGGTTTGAAGTTTCGCTTGTCGTTGGGGCTTACAAGACACTCTGGATAGGATTATTCTGGATCATATCAACGCGAATGCGACGCGGGTACGGGTCTACGACTACAGCGGGCACCCGATCTACCCCAACGGCCAACGCGTGCCACTCACCGTACTCGCGAAACTCAAACAGTTTGGGACCGACTCGGACGACGCGGCTTGTGCTTTTTTGGCCGACCACTTTGATCAGCACCAACGCAAGGAACAAGCGAGTTTCCGGCGCCACCTTGCGACGTGGTTGGAGCAACGTGGACACACCCGTCCCACTTTGTTAGACTCGCGCGAAGCCGAACGCACGGTCAAGACAGAAGAAAATAACAACTCAGCTCCACGAAAACACATACACCATGGTGACGCATTGTGGCGTATTAAATCTGAGAGTTTTGCACAATATTGTCTATTATCCAGTGGCACGTAGGATTGGATAGCTATCAGCAAGCAGCCGTCGTGGCTGGACAGAGACAGAGCGCGGACACGAGGCCGGACACGAGGCCAGCCGCAATGTTGGTTGTACAAATATACCTCGACACGGCAAGGCCACTCTCTCGACCTAGCCTGCGAGAGAGAAGAAGGGACACCACGCGTGCGATTGCGCAATGGTATGCAAAACGAACGCCATGCAACGGCTTGCATAACGAGAAGGAGTAGCTTGTACCCAGCGCCACCAGACCCTCTTCTTTCGCAAGCGGGGGGCGCGACCGACCGCATGATACCTTCACTGGAGTTGCATTGAAGTAGCTTTATTTGCCTTCTTGGAATAAACACGGGTGCAACGGCGTGGGCTTAAAGCGCATGCTACCTCATCATCAAGAATTTTTGCTTTGCGTTGCAAAGCCCAGCAGCCCACATGACCAAAGTGGACCAGGGCTCTTCCTCATTCGCATGGGCCAGAAAACGATTCTTTATACAGCCCGCGATTATGCACCCAGTGCGTCTGATAAGGAGGGCGCTTGGCACAAAGCTTGCCCCCCCCGCCCCCCAAGAGTGCCTGGCACAAGCCACCCGGAAGCGACGGATGCAGTTTGAAACAAGTCTGAGTCTCCGCGCCTGGGATATCAGACAGCATAGGGCAGTGCAGCGACGTGGTCTTCTTCTGGACTGTCGCTTGCACCACGACTGCGGGCAAAGTCGGCCGGCAATGGACTCGTATTGCACGAAAGGCGCCGCCCACGACCGACTCCCACGGTGGACCACATGTCCCGAGCGTCAACCTACAGACACTGTTGGACGATGATTCTTACTCACGGGATAGAATCAGACAAGGTGCGCTTAGTAGCAACGTACTAGCATCGGCGAGGTGTTAGTCCCCATCTTCTCTCTCACAACGACAAACAATGCAGCTCGCGTCCTCGCCGCGGAAGCGCAAGGCGGCGGCCGCGATGCCGTTTGACACGACGTCGCTCAAGTGCAGTGACAGCTTCCTGCAGTGGAGCAGTCTCCAAACCATCAAGTCCAAGCGTGTGAAGGAGCTCGCGTACCTCAAGAAGCGGATTTACGAGCTCGAGCGGGACCTCGTGCGTGCCCAGCGCTGCCACTCGACCGTGCTGCCGTGGGAAGAAGTCGCCAAGGCGCTCGCAGACGACACCCTGGACAAGGTCCGTGAGAACCGAACGCTTAAGTCGACCGTCGAGTACAACCGTCACAAATACGCCTTCTTGCGCGAATGGGTCCACGGCATGACGCCACCCAAGGTACAAAATACCGCGACATTGCCGTTTCGTAATACAGCGCTCTCGTAGCGCCACGTCATTTCGACGTTTCACGAGTCGTGGCGGCACTCGCATATCTTTGACGGTGACGCGTCGATGCGGAAAGCGGGCTACGAGTGGCTCACGACACACGTCTACCACAACACGAGTCGCGAGATGGCGCGCGCGGCACCTTTTCCCGAGACGAATGACGACTTTGTGCATGCGGATGTCACGTGCAACGACAACGTCATGCACGTCGCGGTCACGTCGCAGCTCATCGTGCCGTACCCGCTCGAGGCAACGGCGACAGCGCTTTGGGTCGCTGACCGCACGCTGCTCGGGTTTGTCTCGGAGGGCACCGTCGAGGAGCGCGCACCGATCGCAGACAATATCGTCTACCATCGCGAAGAGATGGGTCCGGCGTCTGGTCATATTCGCGTCGCAGGCAACATGCTCTATGGCAAGTTTACCGCATCACCCAACCGCGTCGTACTCGTCAAGCGCTCGATTCTAAAGGACGACGCGCACCCGCTCGACTCGGACGTCTGGACGTGCGACGTCAAGCAATGGTTCGCCAACTCGATTGCGGTGTACGATTGCGATAAACTGATATGTTGATATTTTGATAGGATCGTGGCCGACCGAGTGGACGACAACACGACGCGGTGTCGCATGTACGACGTCACGGGTCATCCGTGCACGGAGCGCGGGTACGTGCCGATCCGCGAGCTCGCCAAGTGCTTTCGCTTGCAGGCGCGGGACGACGCCGAGGCCGCGGCCCTTCTCCGGCTACGCACGATCGACAGCCAGCAGCACGAGCGTGTCCGGTTCGCCGAGCTCGTGCACATGCTTCTCGAGCAACAGACGCTGACGGACGCCATGGCAGCGCTCGACGATGCGAGTTTCTAGTGCGCGTTTTGGTAATCGTTCTTGTTCCTACTACTATCGTGTGCACAGTCGGAAGGCAGCCAGGGCCGGTCGTGGCGCCACGTTCGCAGCCACCACATGCCTGGCCGACTCATATTTCGGCGGTCACGGCACCGCACCACCCATGTCGTGCGGTACCAAACCTCGCACGAGCAGCAACAATTGGCAGAAAGGATGCAAGAGACAAACTTACAGCGTCCACTCAAATCGAGCGAAAGCGTGTGATTGCATGCGGGTACAAATCCTTTTCCCGGATGGAACGAGGTGTTGTTGGTTCTGGCCCGTTTGCGGTGCCGAGGCGGTGAGCCAAAGAGGTTCCGACCCTTGAAATAGGATCTTGGGTGTTGTTGAAATATGAGTTTTGAAATCTGTGTTTGCTGGCCCGCCTACTCTCGCTTTTCTGGCTACCGATGGCCTCGCAGCACGTCCGAATCGGTGGGCCAAGCCATCGAACGCGGACAAATATCGCATTCCCCAGTGACTCACAGAGACGACCAAGATACATTTCCATCCTCGCAGGTGTGACGTACTCTAGTGCAGTTCAAAATGTATTCTCATAGCGTGTCGTACGCTGCACGTATACGTAGTACCGCCCATGCTACGGTCCATCCACTGTCGCCGGCGGAGTGATCCGTGGGCTTCAACCCGCCATCTGGGTCCAGTGACACCTGCTTCGAAGCTAGAGGCGAAGTTGCGCTATCCCGAACCCAGAGACACCGTCTCGTACCAGTTTTCAAAAGTGCAAAATGGTCATGATGCGGACCGACGACGATTGCTTGGTGACCAAACCCGACGCTGCTGTCGTACACCAGTTCAAGTCCAAGCGGCTGCGCGAGATCGAGTACCTCAAGAAGCACATCTACGATCTCCAGGCGCGCGTGAGCAAGACGAAGCGCGTCCGTGTCACGCTATTGCCGTGGGAAGAGGTCGCAAAGGCCCTCGCCGACGACACACTCGACAAGGTGCGCGAGAACCGGACGCTCAAGCGCGAGCTGACGCACAACAAGCGGCTTGCGCGGGTGCTCCAGGACTGGATCCTTTCGCAGTCGCCGCAGACGGTACCTCGTTCATGGTCGTCGTCGTCTCTCATGAGCATTAGCGGCAGCCCAACATCCACCTCGAGTCCTGGCGCCACTCGCACATCTTCCAGGGCGACGAAGCGACGCGCAAGGTCGGGTACGAGTGGCTTGTCGCGCAGCTGTACCACAACACGGAGCGCGCGCTCATGCCATTGGCGTTCCCGCAAGGCAACGAGTACTTTCTCGAGACCGACATTTCGTTCGACGGGCCCATCATCAGCCTCACGCAGCAGATGCAAGTGATCTTGCCATATGCGCTCGACGACGTCTCCCGCGCCGTGTGGATTGCGGCCCAAACGTTCATCCACTACATCCAGCGCAAGCCCGACCCGCTGGCCAAGCTTTTGCAAGTCAACTGCGACGTCGAGTACGTCCAGGAAGACATGGGCCCGACCGCCAAGCGCATTGACAGCAAGCTCCTCTACGGTCGGTTCCACGAGCCCAACCGGACGGCGATTGTGACGCGCGCCGTGCGCACCGATGACGCGTACCCGATCGACCCGTCGACGTGGACCACCGACATGAAGCAATGGTCTTGATCACACATGGGCGATGGTGATCTGACAGTTGGAATTATGGGACTAGGTTCGTCTTGGACAAAATCGACGACGTCACAACGCGCTGCCGGTTCTACGACTACCTCGGGCACCCGTCGACGGCGTCGGGATATGTGCCGATCCAGGACGTGGTCCGCATGTACCGGTACGAGCCGGTCAATGATGCCGACGCGATCGCCTATTGCCGCAACCGGTTTCCCCACCACCAACGCCGCGAACGCGCCATGTTTGCCAACCACCTGCAGCGCGTGCTGGACAAGGTCACGACGTCGACGCCGCACGGGTCACCGTAAACCTGTGTCCCTTCGCTCGACGCGCGTGCTCTAATTTAAAAAACGAATGCCAACCCTCTGACAATACCGAGTCCTACCGGTGACGTACGTACTGTGCGAGTGGTTGATACGCCTACCACACCCTTTTTCATTTGAAAGACGCATGGTCGTCGTGGTTGAACGAGAGTCGTCATCGTGTTAGCGTCCGAGGGTATGTACATAACCTTGGCCTTGTCTCTGCGCCTCGGGAACGAGAAAGCGCGCGGCTACTTGGTGTCCGTCGCGCGCGGCTGCCAAGGCGGGAGTGCGTGCGAGATTCGAGGCTGTCTGTAGACATAGGAGCGAGAAAAAGGCTGATCGGAGTCTACAACCCGCTCGCTTAAGGCTACCCACGAGTAGCCACGGCGGTGAGCGACGTTGCTGGTTCCATATTTGGTCGTTTGCCCGCTTTCGTGGCTTCAAGTCCGGCATCGTGTGGCCTTTCTCTGTTGGCAGAAAGGTTGATAGGAAATAGCGTCCGTCTGCTTGCCTTTTCGGAACTGCAAAGCGATGCGATTCAGCACACTGTGTATTGGAATTGATGCCTAGTATTGTGCTGGCGAGTAATACAATACTACGTCGGACCTGCTATTTTGCGCCTTTCTGAAATTGCCCTTTGCCATCAAAAACGACCTACACCGCGGATTTCTATACCATACAAAGCGCTCAATGTACGGTAGCATACAACCGACAAGGTATTTTGGCGCCTCCTTCCCGCCACCTGGTTCATCATCTGGGTGCGAACTGCCAGCTTTGATTTGTGGTGCAAGGTGCAGTGGCTTGCCGCCTACAGCTTCAATTGCCGTAACCAGTACCCTCCCGGCCACCGTCCGGTGCTTTGGTGCCCGGTCGCTCCGTCGAAGAACACGCCATTGCAGTTTAAACAAGAGTTACGTCCATGAATGCTTGGTGCATGGGCATCGACTGCGCGCGCACCCGCGTTGCAGGGACCCACCTCATGTGGCTTGTTGGGCGCGACATACTATCTAAGCGAATTTTGGCAGCTGGCTACCCCGCACAGAAAGCAGTGCGTTCGCTTGGCGTCGCCTATCTACATATTTCGCCGAGGACGACCCATGGTGTCGGAGATCCGCAAGATCCGCAGCATCACGCGCAACGCGCTCAAGCCGTGTTTTGAGAACCCGCCGCCGATGCCCCACGTCAAGTGCAAGCGACTGCGCGAGCTCCACTTGTTATCACGCCATATTTACGAACTCGAGATCAAGCTGCGGCGCCTCCAAGGCCGGCGCTCGACCTTGCTGCCGTGGAAGGAAGTGAGCTCTGCGCTCGCCGAAGACACGCTCCGCAACGTGCGCGACAACCGCAGTCTCAAGGTCGAGCTCGAGCACCACCGACGGCTCACCACGTTTCTCCGCACATGGGTCGATGGGCTCACGCCGATCCCGGTACGACAACGTCGACCACATTGTGCCCGACGCGTCACACTTGCGTTGTAGCGGTCGCCCCGGTCGTCTTCGGACAGCTGGCAACACTCGCAGCTCATCGCAGGCGATGCCACCGCCCGGCGCACTGCGTACGAGTGGATCGCCCGGCAAGCGTACTGCAGCACGGAAGCCGCGATGGCCCACGTTTGCTTTCCGGGCCACGCTGCAGGTGACATTGCAGTTGACGTCGAATGGGTCGATGGACTCCTGCACGTCAATGTCATGACCCAGCGCGTGCTGCCGTACAGCCTCGCGACTGTCTCCAAGAGTCTCTGGGTCGCCGATAAGACATTTGTGCAGTTTGCCCACGGCCGACCGCTGAGCGAGTACCGGCACGAGCTCCACGTCGTGAGCGACGAACTCGAGTACGTCCAAGAAGAGATGGGTCCCGGGACCCGCCAGATTTTCGACAATGTGCTCTACGCGCGGTTCCATGAGCCGACGCGGACCGTCCTCGTCATGCGGTCGATCCTCAAGGACGAGCTCTTTCCGATTGACGCGGCAACGTGGACCGTCGACACGAAACAATGGTCAGATTGTCGTCATGACAATATAGGATGCTGACAAAAACGATGGGTCTAGGATGGTGGCCGACAAGCTCGACGACGGCCACACGCTGTGCCGCACCTACTACTCCATCAAGCACCCGAGCACCGAGGCGGGCCACGTCCCGTTGCGAGATCTCGCGACGTGTTTCTGCCATGCACCGACAAGCGACGCGGAAGCGGAGAAGATGCTGCGCGACCGCTTCCTCCTCGTCCAGCGTGTTGAGCGCGAAAAGTTTGCCATGCATTTGGACGCGGTGCTTCTCGAGCACGAGACGGCCGGCGTTGCATCCGAAATGGTGGCCTAACAAACGACGATATTGTACTACACTTTAGTACGTTCCTAGTCGTCGATCGTTGTGTGCGGTGGAGACACAGCAAGAGAAAGGCATCCATACTATGGATGAAATACTCTTGAGGCATAGTACTATCTTTGTCGTCACCTGCGACGCCACATTGCATTTCTCTCGAGACAACGAAGGAAAGGGTTGCTGAAGTGGGTCGAGCGACGCATCCAATGTGGCCTCTCGGTGGTGTAGCCGACAACAGATACTTGGACCAATATCCTATTGCAGCAACGATCGGATAGCTCTACTATCGGATAATGCATCGTACTAGCTCGTTTGGATAGTATGTCGGCCGTTGCGAGAGCCAGCGCGGACCATGGATCGTAAGAGCGGTTGAAGACATTTGAGCGAGTATCTTGCCCCCCCTTCGAAATCGCTCACCGAGGCGCGGTGTCGAGTGTCGCGAGCTAAAGTCCCAACGTCGCTGGTTTGGTCGCTCCGAGTACGTAGTGCTGTGAGGATCGTAGAGGTATACTACGCCCTCCGATCAACTTGCCGCGAGCTGGAAAGCGATGTGCCGTATGTGTCGGTGCCAGGCCCTGGACGGGATCAGGTGGACTGGTGCAGGAGCTTGTCCTTGACGCGGCACGGGTGTCATCTATGTACGAGATTGATTCATTTTGGTGGCACGGTAAGCAGGCGTCGTATGTGTTGCATCAACGTCGTCGTAGAGTAAGCTTCTGGCGTTGGGTTGGGTTGTGCGGTCAACAGCGGAAGATCGAGCAGATGGCAGCCCTTTCGAAACCTGCTACTCGACGGACCAAAGAAGGTGATGGCGGCGGTACATGTATTAATACCGCGCACCGCGTGTCCCAGCGCGAGTTCTTCAAGCGTGAAATCGCTGTTCCTGTGGCGTCCAAGGTGTTCCGATGCATCGGATTTCAGGTTCGTGTACGAGAATGCGCTTGCTCCGTCGTCTTGCGATGGAGGGCCTTGGGTTCAGCAGGCATGGACGCGGGCTCGAACGTTTGCTCGAGACAGCCCTACAAGTGCCATTCAGCGCTAGGACAGGCGCACCGAGTGCGTCTTTGTTTCATCCTCCCATCGAGGACTTGAAAAATGTATTGGAATTTTACGCGTTTGTATTTTATTGAAGCGAGGCGATGGGAATGAGTCGACGACGACCAGGAAGAGTAGATGGCAGGCAACAAAATGATTTATCGCTTGCTACTGGCGTGTAGTAATAGGATCCATGGAAGCAACATTCCCCGATCCACCACAAAAGGGCAATCTCAGAAAGGCCAATTGGCCGAGCTGGTCAAGACGATGGCCGTCGTCGTAGCCATGGGATACGGTATATGTATCTCCATCTTATTGCTATCTTAGTTCTCTCGTTGCATCGGTGCTCGCATTCGTGTAGAAGGTGTGATCGTCCGCTTCGACACGAGCCATTGGCTTTGTAGAGTAGCAGGATGCGCACCTGTTGAGCTTCGTGCGGCGCTACGCTGTACACGCCCATTGCCGAGGAAGCCGCTGCACCCACTTGGTCGGATCATAACAAAGCTACTTGCGTATCTAACCCCGTGGTACCCAGTTATACCGACGTTTTACGTCGGGATTTGCATGTTATAATGCCGTGTCCACCACGTGGCGGCACTTTGGCATGTGTCATCAATAAAACCCACTAAACCAGGTGGTGCACTTCTGATGCCGAGAACGGCAGATGCCATTTGTCGGCAGAACCCAACTTGATCATGGTCGCCGAGGTCCCGCTCACACCGCCGACGCTCCTCCTCTCGACGACGACCCACAAGGGCCCATGCGACGAGTCCAGCAATGCATCAGTCCGGGCTGCGTCGCCGCTCAAGCCGCGCCGACCGGACCGGCCACTCAAGGTCTCGACGTCCACGACCGTCAAATGCAAACGTGTGCAGGAGCTGCAGTACCTCCATCGGCACATTGAGGAGCTCGAAGAGACACTTCGCCGCTGCCAGCGCCCGTATACGCCCATGATGCTGCCATGGAAAGAGGTGAGCGCCGGCCTCGCCCACGATACGCTCGTGCACATTCGCGACAACCGGTGCCTCAAGAAGGAGGTCGAGAGCAAGAAGAAGATGATCGCGTACCTCAAGGCGTGGATGCAGAGCGTCAACGTCGCCACGGTAGACTATCGACGTGTCTGCATCATGACGATAGCATGTACGTAGCACTCGCCTAGCCCGTTCGTCGAGACATGGCGTCACTCGGAGCTGCTCGCTGGCGACGAAGCCTTCCGCAAGCAAGCGTACTCGTGGATCATGCAGCAGGTGTACCACAACACAGACCGCGCACTCTCGACTTTGCACTTTCCGGACGCCGCGGCTGGCGACTTTATTGACGTCCATGTCGTGCCGGACGAGCACCACCGGCTCGAGATCCACGTCATGAGCCAGCGCCTGCTACCATATGCGCTGCCGATGGCGTCGGAAGGCGCGTGGATCGCCGACAAGACGTTTTATGAGTTTAACCGCGACGGCGACACGTTCCGCGAAGAGCTCGATCTGGTCAACCGCGACCTCGAGTACGTCAAGGAAGACATTGGTCCGGTCCAAAAGATGATCGTTGACAACGCGCTCTACAGCCGGTTCGAAGAAGAGAACCGAACGGTCATGGTGCTGCGCTCGATCCTCAACGACGAAGCTTACCCGCTGGACGCGACGACGTGGACAGTCGACATCAAGCAATGGTATCTCCTCCTCGCGTGCCGCCAGTCGTGTAGCAAAGACTTACTATTTTTGCGCATTATTAGGATGGTGCTGGATGCGATGGACGACGAGACGACGCGGTGTCGAACCTACTACATCATGAAGCACCCGACGACAACCAGCGGCGGCTACGTCTCGGTCGAAGAGTTTGCCGCGTGCTTTGATTTGTACACGCCCGGCGACGACCAAGTCTCGCTTATGCGCAAGCTCGGTGCGCGCTTTGAAGAGAAGCAGCGCATTGAGCGCCAGAAGTTTGCAACACACATGGACGCCGTGCTCCAGCGACTCGAGACGCTCGAGATGCTAGACGCACTCCAAGGCGAAGACGAAAGAAGCCTCTGAGAGCCCATGGACGACTAGTACGAAGGACGGTCGACTATTCTATTGTATCATAAATGCCACGACGCACACTAGTGTGCCCGCGATCGAGATGAACGGTAGAAATCAGTGGGTTGTGGCGGTCGCAACGCAGTGGGACACTATGGCGCGGGCAGCTGGACGAACCACGTTCGATGGCTCGTCGCCCAGAGACGTAAGGCTGGTCGCTGCAGTGTAGTACATGGAGCCTTGCGGGCTCCGTACCAGGCGTAGTACGACGTTGACGCTGCATCCAGCATCATTCGAGCCTTCGATGAATTTATCGCGCTGTGATTGGTCTAATCGTACCTCAAGTGACATTTCATTGGCTACAATCGATGCCGTGGACCAATCTGAAGGCGCGAAGGCAGCTATTTTTCCCGGCAAGATTTGACCCTGCACAAAAGGTAGCATTTTCGCCAATGAACGAGCGGGATATCAAATACTTGAAACATGATTGGCGCAAAATGGCAATCTTGGTGGAAATTCACGCGAAGCGCAACGAAGGTCCGCTGCACCACGCCCGTACAGGTCATCCTGAAAATGACAGCCAAGACAGCCGTCGCGACGTTCGCCGCTGGCTGCTTCTGGGGTGTTCAGCTCCACTTTCAACGCATGCAAGGCGTTCTGGGTACTAGCGTCGGCTACACCAACGGACACGTGCCCCATCCGACGTACGACCAGGTCTGCGCGGGCACGACGGGCCACGCCGAGGCAGTCCGCGTCCAGTTTGACCCGAGCGTCGTGTCGTACGACGAGCTCCTTGACAAGTTCTGGTCGATCCACGACCCAACGACGCTCAACCGACAAAAGTTTGACATTGGCACGCAGTACCGGTCGGGGATCTACTACCACTCGGAAGCCCAGCGTGAAGCTGCCGAAGCCTCCAAGGCTGCCCGTGTGGTTCCATGGAGCCTTCTAGGCGTCTTCTTTGGCAACAAGATTGTCACCGAGATCGAGCCCGCGGGCGAGTTTTACCCTGCCGAAGAGTACCACCAGCGGTACCTTGAAAAAGGCGGGCAGTGCGCGCGCGTCGGCACCACCGACCGCGTCCGATGCTACGGCTAACACACCACCAAGGACGACATCATACCGTGACATCTTGCGAATAATAGAATCGACTATGAGACACTTTTGTATTGACGCACACAAGTTGTGTGCGTCAATACAAAAGCAATCGTCATGTCTCCACAACGCACAGCACGGACACATACTGTAGTAGGATGCTCTCAACCTCTTGTTGATAATTCTTCGGCTCCTACGACCGACGGCGACGGAAGGTTGTGCAGGACGTGGTCGAGGTAGGCTGCAAACTGCAGCCGCTGGTCGTAATGTCGACGGCGAAAACACTCTCGCAGCGAGTGCTGGAACAGACCGTCGTCGTCGTCGTTGCCGTCGCAGCCAAAGAGGCGCCCGACGTCGCACAGCGGCACGTCGTCGCCGGACGATGTCCGCGGATGGCCCATTTGAAAAAAGACGCGGCAGCGCGTCGTCCAAGCGTCGACGGCTTCGGCCACCATCCTAGCACCCCAATCAGCCACTACGAACTTGCCATCGTGCAGTATTACTACCATTGCTTGGTGTCGACGCTCCACACGTCGCCCGTATTCGGGTACGCGGCGTCCGACGTGATGGAGCGCATGACAATGACGGACCGGCCCGGCTCGTCAAAGCGTCCATACAGCGTGTTGTCGCCAATCGTGTCGTCTTCCGGTCCAATGCTGTCGTGGAGGTAGACAATGTTGCGCTCCTGCCCTTGGTCGAGCTGCGTAAAATCCCGCGACAGCGCGTGGGCGACGAACGTCAAGTCGGCGTGCCAGAAGGCCCGCGCTACGTCCGCCAAGGAGCACGGCAAGAGGCTCTGTGTCACAACTTGGATGCTCAGCGGCCCGTCGTCGAGGTTGACGTCGATGGCCACATCGAATGTGCTGTTGACATACGCCAAGCGCTCGGAGACGCGCGCCATGGCGCTGTCGGTGCTGCACCAAAGCTGTTGAAGGACCCACTCGTAGGCCGCTTGGCGAGCGGATGCGTCACCTTGAATGAGGCAGGCATCGCGCCACGAGCTTTGCGGCGAGAGGGGCTACGCATATACCGGCATGGATGCATCGATGGACAAGCCACAAGTCGGTGGTACCTGGGGCGGGGCCATCGTTAGCATCCACTCGTGCAAGAAACGAGCGAGGCGCGCATGGTACGCGCACTCCTTCTTGAGGCTGCGGTTCGTGCGCACCTGCGCGAGCGTGTCATTGGCCATTGCGCCGGCCACGTCCTCCCACGAGAGGATCATGATGTGCGCGCGCTTGATGCGCCGGAGCTCAACCTCGAGCGCGCGCACCTGCTCGCGTAGCCGCTGCAGGTGAACTATACGCCGCACCTTGGGCTTCCGCGCCATACTACCGTCGTCTGACACGCGGCTCTGGAAAGGGCAAACTGAGAGTCTGAGGTGCCACTTCGAAGTGCGATCGCGTGGCCAACCCTGCGCGTTGCATCCTACTCGAAGCTGCACGATCGAAGTTTGGAACGGCCTTATCTCTGGCTCGCCTCGCAACTAATGGCAGCATTCCTGCTACAACTACCAGGTATGACAGAGAGGTTTGATGGTTCGCTGCCGCAGATTGTTCGCGCGGACGTAGCAGCCGCTCTGGCTCGCAACCGAAACCGATACCAAGCGTCAATGTATACATGATGATATATATTTACCGAGAGGGCACCTGTTCTCGGCAGCAGTTGTCGGCCAGTGACAACTGATAGCAGGATCAACCGTCGAGGTCAAACCCACGAATCCTAGTCGGCGAATGAGAGGCCACTTGTCAGGGCCCATTTGACGCGACGTGCGTCACTACGGTGGAGCGGCCACAGGACGCGAGCGTTCATGTAATTCTATAAGCGTCCGTGCAAAGCGAGGGGCTGCAAAGGGAGAGCAGCAGACGTGTAGTCTGCTGCGTCCTTTGTTGTAGCTAGCAGGCGTTGGCGATTGCCATCGGTTTACCGGTACATTCATGCGATCTCGCTCAGTCGACCTAATACGGTTAGGAGTCCATATTCGAACTCAACTAGAGTCTAGTTGCATGTAGTACCTAGTAGGCGAAGAAACGGCGCTCAATACTCTAGTCGCGCGACCCCATCCGAGAACTGCGAATGAATTCACAACTATCTTGTGATTTGTATATTATACAAATGGATATATGTTTGAAAACAGGTGGCAATCGTTTCGGATTCCATTTTTGGCGGCCAAGGACGAGGAGGCTCATGACGACGACGACGACAATGGTGGTCCTCGACCATCTCGAGGATGGACTCGCCCGAGCATGCGATGACGTCGACGGAAGCATGGCCGCGAGTTCGACGTGGCTGGCTGCGTACTGCATGGAGACCGCGCAGGAGCTACGTCGAGCGCCGATGAAGCGGACCCGGCCGCGCTTGAACCTGAGCGACCTCGACCCGGGCTCGGCGAGCGAGACAAGCGAGCGCCTCATGAAGAAGCCACGGCGAGGAAAGAAGAGAGGCCGCGCGATGGCTGTACGATCTCTGCGTCTCGACTTATCGGTGGTGCTACTCATGCGATCGCAGGACGGGGCAGGACCGAGTACCCTGACCGATACTACCAAGGAAGACGAACTCATGAAGCTACGCGTTGTCGACCTAAAGAAGAAGCTCCAGACGCGTGGTCTTGTCTGCTACGGTCTCAAAGCTGTCCTAGTGCTGCGACTTGCCGAGGCCATGCGGCAAGATGAGAAGACGCTACGCGACGACGACGGTCCAGCTTCTATCGATGCAAACTGCTCTATCCGTGCGATCGACGACGACTGCACAGCGTCTCCTTGGGGAGAAGTCGGATCGCCGGTCCCGACGGCCAAGTCGTCGAAGCCTGCTGTGCGCAACCCCGTGCGATCCCTTGCCGACGCGTTCGACGACGAGGCGTCCCCCGACACGAGCACGCAACCGAGCGCCATCTTGGACGTACCATGCGCTTCAAGTCCACCGTCCATGGCGAGCACGATGGGCTCGAACGTCGATGGCTTGTCCTCATTGCCACACATCGACCCGCCTTCCGAGGAGACTCGAGCACACGAGATGGCAACCTTGCACGAAACACCTCCGCCTGTATCAGCCTCTTGCAGCAACTCTAACGGATTGTCTTCTCGTACGGGGCCCAACCTCTCCCCGATCGTACCACAAAGTAGTCGTCCTGCATCTCCGACGGTCCCTCTGCATGCAGCTCTGGTTCAAGTCGCTCCGCCAGCGCTGGACAACACCACAACGACAACAGACGAAGCAGCGCTAGTATCACTAGCGTCTGAACTTGCCAGCGACGAGTCCCAGGGCGTGCATGGCGCTGCCGACGACGCGTCCACGGATGCCATTCCCAAGTCGAGCACGTCGCCCGCAGATACGGCCCCCGTCGGTGGTAGCGGCGACATGATGTCCTCGGATAGCAGCAGTCAATCATCAGACGATGACGAGCATAGCGCATCCTTCTTGGCCAAGGGCTTTGCTACGATCAAGTCGGCCATGCAGCGCCACGTGCTGGGAAGTACTACGTCGACGCGCAAGACGCCGCCACCGACGTACATTGAAATGGAGCGACTCTCGATGGCGCCACGACGAAGCTCTTTGCTGCCTCCCATTTCGGTGATGGACCTCTCGACCCCGCAGCTCTCAAGTCCTGTCACGTCGCCCTTTGACGCGTTCGGAATACCTGAAGGGCGCCTCTCGTCCCCTGAGCTGCGCGACGTCATTGAGCGCGAGTCCAAGCGGCTCCGTGAGACGGCGCGGGCGCTCGCCAAAGAGCGCGTCGCCAAGGAGCGCAGCCTGTCCAAGACGGTCAAACCACTCGCCCCCCAAGAGCCGCCACCAGTGGAGCTCGATCAAGTGTCGGTCGCCAGCTCGAGTCGACATTTGAACCCTACCCCGCGGACATCGTCGGTCGCCGCGCCGCCGAGTGCGCTGAGCAAGCGGCCACCTAACCTCGTCTCTGGACTGGCGTCTTTTGGCGCGCGCAAGCGTACGTCCTCGATCCTAGCGTCGCGCGCGAGCGGGTCGACTATGATTCCGTCGCTATTGGAAGCCGAACGGTGTCGCTTGGCGGATGAGAAGAAGATGCTCGAGAAGGAACTTCGGCGCGAAGCTTTGCACCAAAAGTACGCTATTCACCGCAAGCACGACGACAGCGTCCGCAAAAAGCCGCGCGACGAGACAGACAAGGTGTCCTTTGTGTGGTCGATTGGTTGGTGCTGAGAACGCACGGTGAAATAGGCTCGTGACGAGGCAGTGGAGAAGAAGCAACGGGACCTGGACGCAGCACGGAAGCGGCGCTTGCAATGCATGCACGCGGCGCAAGAGGCCAAGAAGATGCAAGAGCGGGAAGAGAGAGAAAAGGTTTGATTGCCGGGTTGCCCGCCGAATGAGTACCAGGTACAGACTTGACGGCGTGCATTAGGCCCGTGAGGCGACCGAGAAGAAGCAACGCGACCTCGATGCCGCGCGCAAGCTGCGGCTACACGACTTTTATGCGCAAGAATCCAAAAAGGTCCAAGAACGAGGTCGCACCGTGAGCAAGGTTGTCGTTGCGGTGGATCCCCTTGAGTACATGGCGCTGACGTAGACATAGGACGTACGGAGTAGCGACAAGCCCACGATGCCAAGTGTACAACCTGTGATGCTGAAGAGACTCAAGGAGCCGGCGACACTGCCAAAGCGCCCTGTCGAGACCAAAACGTTGACCAAAGGAGCCTCGCGCACGGCAGCCAAACCAGTGCAGTCTTACTGTGTGTAAATCGGTCGAGTTGTTGATTGCCCATCGGAATAGGCCACCAATGGGCTGCCAAGAAAGCGCCAAAAGATTGTCGCAACCAAGAGCGTTCTCGAGCCCCCTCTCTCGTACAAAATGTCCGAGTCCGAAGAAAGGTTGGGCAATGCGAATCGATATGATTGATCCGCTCATGTGTTATGTGGTAGCGACGACAGCGACATGGACACGGAGGATTACGCGGCGCTGAACAAGCCGCTTCCGGCCTGGGCCCAGAAGGCCAACCTCGACCAAGCCCTCGCTCTCCAATTTGGGCCTCACGGCGTGGACCCGACCACGATCTTTCCCGACTTTGTCGGCTCGTGCGACCTCAAGCGTACATCCTCCTCCCTTTCATTTTGGTGATTGTAATGTGTGTCTGTTTAGTCATTTTTAAAGGCTACGTCGAGCCAAAACGCACCTTTAATCGACGCACGAGCTCGGGCAATTGGCACATGGACCAGCCGACGCGGCTGGAGAAGGCCAACTACAAGCACGTCATGGGCTTTGGCTCCGCAACGACCTTTGTAGCCTAGCCCTTGACACATAATCGTATAGTGTCTAGTTGTACATTAGAAAGGTGGACGAAAGGTGGATGACGAGGGTTGAAGGCCGTCTGTGCACGTAGTTTTCAGCTGCCGGAAGTGTCATTTGCTCTGCGCATGGGCCAGCAACGTATTTCGCACGCCTTGGACGTACTATAATGACCATCAAATATTATATTTTCATGCTACTAGCGACGAAAATGGTCATTGTTGTCTAGGAATCGGCAGATCAGATCTACCTTGGCTCGTTTGAAAAACCTAAAACGTGATGCGTTTTATACTTTAAAATATTGGACCAGTCACTTTTTTTAAGAAACTAGAAAATTATAGCTAGATGTTTGTAAGCAAGCCAACGAAATATATTTTATGTCTTGTCGTCCGCTTGGTCGGTGGAATAAAATTCGACCAGTGGAGCCGCAAGCACGACGATGGGCACGTACCTCGAGGACTACCTCGAGAGCATCTACATGCTGCCGTCCGAGGTCAAGCGCAACTTTGAGCTCATGCGCGAGCTCGACAAGGCGACGCGCGGGATCATGGAAGAGCTGCGCGAGTCGCAGTCCGAGTACCTGCGCGACGCCCGCGAGCGCGTCCGCGTCCGCTGCAGCGACACGTCGCTGCCCGAGCCAACCGAGGAAGAGCTCCGCGCGTTGGTCGAGCAAGAAGTAGCCAAGGACGACCCGAGCGCACCGCCCGACGAAGCGAGCCCGCCACCAAATCCGCTCCTCGCCTCCTTGAAGGCGAAGCGCCACTTGGTCATCCAAAAGATGGACGAGAAGGTCGCGATTGCGTCACAGAGCTACGACTTGATTGACCACCACATTCGCCGACTCGACAACGACCTCGCCAACTACACGGCGCTCTTGCAGGCCAACGGCGAGTACGAAGACGAGAAGATTGTCATCAAGAAGCCTGTCGCGGCCGTGGCCCCGGCCGTGCCGCAAGCTGCGACAGCGACCACCAACAAGAAGGCCGCTGTGCCCGTGGCCACGGTCAAGAAGAGCGCGGGCTCGAACCGGAAGCGCAACGCTGCCGAGGCGCAGCTCGAAGCGATTCCCGAGGCGACCGCGATTGCCAGTACCGGTCACATTGCGCTCGAGGACCTACCGATTGACCCGAACGAGCCGCTCTACTGCCACTGCCGGCGCGTCTCGTACGGCCAAATGATCGGGTGCGACAACGAAGACTGCAAGTACGAGTGGTTCCACTTTGACTGCGTCGGCTTGACCGAGCAGCCCGCCGGCGCGTGGTACTGCAAAGATTGCCGGAAGGCCTAGTACATACTACAACCACCATACTCTAAAGCCATCCTATTATCTCCTTTCTCTTGCCATGCCCTCATCCTCGTCCTGCTACCTTGGCACGCTCCTCCATCTACAGGCCAGGCGACGCAAGATCCCCAAAAATTAAATGGTCAAAAATAGATCAATATATAAAAAATAAAAATCCAAAAAATCCAAGAGCCCGACAAACACGCTCGAGGTCGACGAGATGATGTACGAAGGAGCGAATACGACGATCAACGCAGCCTTCTCGGCCATGTCCCTCAACCCAGCCGGCGCCTACGGGCGCAGCAGCGGGAGCAACCTGATGCTGCAGCCGGCGGCGACCGCTGCTCGAGGTGGTAAGAAGAGCAGCCACCTCGACCGGCCGCTCGGGCGCGGCAAGGCCGAGGTCGCCGAGTCGGCCTTCTCGTTCCTTTTTGCGAGATGGTCCAGTACTACCAGCGGCGCGTCGAGAACATCTCGGACCTCGAGCGCCTCCTCGACTCGGCCGGCTACGGTGTCGGCGTCCGCGTGCTCGAGCTCGTGAGCTACCGCGACATGAACGGCAACATTGCGCGGTGCGTCCGAGGCTGAGGCAAGAAGCGCATCGACGACATGTGGCTAGGGACAAGCTGCGGCGCGAGACGCGACTCCTCAACATGCTCCAGTTTGTCGTCTCGGTCTGCTGGAAGACGCTCTTTGGGAAAGCCGCGGACGCACTCGAGCGCAGCACCGAAAACGAAAACGAATGTAGCACCACCAAGATGACAAGACGACGAGGCTCATGGCGACTGGACGTAGACATGATCCACGAGCTCGACCCGCTCACCAACAAGTTCATCTCGGTGCCTGTCGACATGGGCCAGCTCAACTGCGCCGCGTACATTGCCGGTGTCATCCGTGGCATCCTCGACTCGGCGGGCTTTGTACGACGCCAAGAAGCTCGTGTTTCTCATGTTATCATAGTACTCGCAAGTCGAAGCGCACACCGTCGACGTCGGGAACGGGCAGCCGGACAAGACGGTCTTCCTTGTCAAGTTTGACGACCGCGTCATGAAGCGAGAAAAGATGCTCGCGTAGATCTCGAAGGGGCCACGACTACTAAAGGCACGCAACTTGGTATTGAGTTGAATCCCTTGAAACCAAATAATGCCATCGGACGTTCTTCATAACGTTAGTGCCACCACGCTGAGTGGCATGGTCTCATTGGACAGAGACAGCACACTGCACAAGATGCCGGCGCCGCGCCTCGTGTTGCGCTACTCTGCAGAAGCCAAAAAGATCAAGTAAGCTGGAGTAAGATTGAGCAGCGCGGTTTTCTTTGGTCAATGTCGTGGGCAAGCCTCGGGTCGTTTGCTGGGCTTGAGCACACCAGGTTGTTGGTGGCCGTGAGCAACCGTCGTAGCGTTTCACGTCCCATGACGTGGCAGACTGTCTGATCACAACGCCAATGTCAAATCAGCGCGCGGGTACTACACGACACTGGTCAAACTCTTCTGGCCAACATCAGTGTCGACTTGTATTCCCAACTACCTCTTGGATGCGCTGGTGCGTTGGGTACGAGAAGAACCCTCTCCATATTGTCCTAAGTTCTGCGTCGTCCTCGCCTCCGTTTGATCGATTCCGTCAACTGTAGTATTTGCTCCATGCCACGAAACCTTGTAACAGAAGTGGCGTCATGCCAGTTGATCATTTCCGCATGTTATCCGGAAAATCGACAATGTATCAAGTGCCAGGGCACAGGGTAGCACCCATTGCCATCACTTGACGATTTACTAAACACCCCCGAAGCACTCTCTCCTGGATGCCCAGCGCCTTTCAAAACGAGCTTCGACGCCTATCGTGTCACTGCCTTGCGCAAGTCGAGGTTTGGTTCTGGTGGGCGTTGGCCATACTCCTTCGATGCCTACGCATCCGGGCCTCTTCCGAAACATCCCTCACCGCCGTGGTCCCTCCGAAGACATCAAAATCGAAGACGCTCCAGCCCTCCGCAACGGAGGTGGCCGCATCTCTCTCCAGCCTCTGGTGTGACTATGACGCATCCGTTGCGTCCCGACTCGTGCCGTCACTTTCCATGGATGCCACCGACGCCCCAGGACCTGCCCGCGGCTTGTACCGGCTCCGAATAGCCCTGCAGATCTTCCGCTCGCTCGCTCGCGACAGTGTGCGGCCGGCCACCTTCTTCGGTCATGCGCGGGAGACCATCGATCTCTACATCCGTGTCTGCCCTCGAGCCGGCAGCGTGCTCCTTGGCCGCGCCACGACGCTGACCCTCAACAGCCAAGACGCATACGAAAAGGCACTTCGGGAAGTCAATGCCTGGTGTTACCAAGCGACTGCGTACCTCGGCTTTGGGCGCGACGCCGTCGGCAGCACCGACGACTACGCGACCGACGTCTCCCATGTGATCCAGGCCATGTGCGAGGGCGGCGTGAAGGCGATGCAGTTGGTCGCGGTGGCCTTTGAGAGCTGCGCCCGCGACTTGAGCGCTTCGTATGCAATGTTTGATCAACTTGCTGCGATGCACGATTCGTCCGAAGCCATTCAACTGCGATCGCATTACTCGCCGCATACGGTCTACGGCCGCGATGAAGATGGCCCTGCCTTGGCACGAGCTCTGCGTGCGCATGCAGAGCGCATCGATGGCGTCGTGCAGCGCATGCTAAAGACATTCGAGCAACTGCAAGAGACTCAAGTCATTGCTCTCCTCGACGCGTTTCTGCGGCGTCCAATGGCCCTGTATCAACTTGATACGCGGACGATGAACGACCTCCTCTACGCTGCCGACAGCCTCGTCAACGAATGCCGCTTGTTTATGAACGAACATGAACAGACAATCTAGTCCATCCACCTTCTAACCTTTCACACCGATATGGTGTCTTTTCTCCTCATGCACACAACAAATATGTGTGTTGAATCAACGTTCTCCAGTGACGACGCATGCATGAAATACCATTGAAAGTGTACAAGCTGATCATGTCGACGGCTGCGCTGCTTTCTGTAAATCCTCTCGGTGCTACTATTGCATGATTAGCTCCAGAAATGTTTGCAGCGTGGATTTCAGGCAAATTGATGACTTTCGTAAATGTACAAATTGAGGTTTTCATTCCTCCATCGACGAATGCGGGAGAGCACCAACGCTCGTTCCAGATCCAAGAAGGCGATTTTCGATCCATCTAAAAAAGACGACGCTGTGATTTGCTGCTTTTGCACCAATCCGCGCGCTCAAAATATCTTCATACAAACAACAAGTGCAACGACGACGCCATAAAAACGCCACCTTGGCATGCTGGTCGCTGATTGGGCAATAGAAGCTGAGAATCAAGCTTGGTCTTTGTATAAGGAACGTGGCGGCGAGATACGAGATATATTTGGCTCGGTCATTGCCATTCTCGTTGACGAAGGAGCATGGCCAGCCCGCTGGCAGCGGTCGTGCATGGCCTCCTCGCGGCAGGGACATGCGTCCTCCTCTACTACGCGCTCAAGTACGCCAAGAAGTACTACTTCATGGTGGCCTTCCTCTTGCCGGTACGACGCGCTGCATCGCGCTGCGCATCTTCATGTATGGGACGTAGCCGTTTGTGAGCTTCTGCATGATCTACGAAAACATCGTGCGCGCCGCCACCAACCTCGATGGCGCCGACGCTAGCGACGGCGGCGACTTTGACAAGAGCCTCACGAGCGTCCAAGTGATGCTCGCCCTCCAAGGTAGTACTAGTACTCGTCGACACGCATGGCTGACATGGGCGTAGCGTGCATCATTCCGTTCATGCTGCTCATCTGCTTTGAGGTCACGTACCTCGTGCACAAGAACAAGAGCGTCAACTTTTGCGGCATCTCGTTCGAGTCGGGCCATCGCGCGAACCGCAACAACTTCAAAACGACCTTTCTGCGCTTCGCCGTGTGGCTCGTCGGCCTCTCGCTTCTGCTCATCAACCTCTACGTGTACTACAGCTACTTCCAGGACATCGAGTTCCACGAAGGGTCTCATTGCGTCACTCTGCGTCGCTGGACTCACCGCGTCCATTAGGAGCTACTTTATCAACGGCGATGGGACCGTCGCCACGGTGCTGACGCAAATCCCAGCCTACGTGCTCGTGATCCTCTCGCTCTACATGGGGCTCCGGCTCTGGAACTATGGCTGCAACTACGCCTTTGTGATCCACGCCACGTGCTTCAACCCGTGGATCTGGATGGTCGTCGGTGCGATCGCGCTTGCCGTCGGGTACATCATCCCTGGGATGGTCTTTGCCATCACGTCCAACATTGGCGAGTTTATCATGCTCGCAGCCATCATCCGCATGTTCAAAGAAGTGCACCATGACCTCCAAGTGGCCGACGAGTTTGGCCGCACCATGGACCGGTCGTTGCCGTCGGCCATGATCGTCGTGCCGCGCGACAACATGGCCAACAGCCACGCTACCATCTCGACGCCGATCTCGTCGTACGCGCCGATGACGTCGCCGCCCAGCACCGCCGCCGCCGTATCCGACGACGACGACTCGGACGGCGCGCGGCTCACAGATGCCAACACGAACGCGTACTTTTCAAGCATTCTGGCGCGCACCAAAGGCGACCAGCTGCGCTGGGACGCACCACCATCGAGCATTGCGCTCGAGCCCGTCCGGCTCCGGAAGCCACAGCTGGCGTCGCCGCCAAGCGACCACAATACGGTGCTGCGGGCGCCGGAGCCGGTGCTCGAGTTCAACGCATCGTTTCCGCCGGTGCTCGAAGCCGACGACAAAGACGCGTGGGTGATACTGGCTGACGAGACAACGACGTCGACACCGCCGCCTCGCCCGGCGTTCGATGCGAGCGCATGGGCCATGGACCCGCCGCGGTCGCGCCGCGACAGCTACACGGTCAGCGAGTCGAGAACGGCCAACGAGGAGGGCGCGCGTCGACGTCGACGAGGCGTTCCAAACTGCAGAAATGCATGCGCCCGACGAGCGCTCGGTCGTCTCGGACGTGCCCACCGAGTCGTCCGAGACGCCGCTCCGAGGTGCGACGCCGGCGACTACAAGCTGTTGCGAGACGCCACCGAATCGACACGAAGACGACGACATGGACATGGACATGGACGTCGACTGGATGCGCCAGCTCGGTGCGTCCTTGGATTTTGGTGACGATGCGGCGGCGCTGGATGATATCCCGCTGGGTACGCCGCCGCCCATTGTGGTAGTATGCATAGACCCATCGAGGCCCGATCGCGTCCATCATGCAACGCTATAAGAACACAATCGACGCACATGATAACTTACTCTCCGACTTGGAGACCCAGATTGCACTTGGCCTTTCTGCTCGGTCATATCAAATGGCGACTTTTGCCGAGGAGCCGCCGCCTCGGATGGCAACGGCGCGCGAGCATCTTGGGTGCTTGAGGCCGCGGCTTCGATTTTTCCAAGATCGTTGCCGTCTGGTGGCTGATTCGAAGGTGTTTAAAACAGGGTGTTGCATTGGTGCATACAAACGCCAAGATGTTGGCGGCCGAACGCGACAGGGTCAAACCAACAGTCATTCGAAAAACGAGATGGCGACCACCCAAGCGGCCAAGCGCAAGGCCGACGCGCTGCTGCTCGGGAAGGCGACGACCGCCGACCGCGACATGGACCGCCTCCACCAGCGCGACGTCACGCTCTGCAACGAGTTTGGCTGGACCAAGCTCACGACGACGGGCGCCTTCTGCACGATCTGCTCGCGCATCGTCGTCCCGCGCGGGTCGGGCTTCCGCGAGTACTTTTACCACGAAGAAACCGCGATGCACAAGAAGAACCTCGCGGCGACCGGCGACCTGTCGCGCGCGATGGAGGACGAGCATAGCACGTCCACGCGCCGCTCGAGCCGCCTCAAGGACAAGCCGCTCCTGCCGCCGATGATCGATATGGACAGCAGCGCCGACGAAGCCGCGCCCAAAACGCGCCGCAGCACATCGGCGTCAACGATTACGACGAATACGACGACGACCATGGCCAAGGCCCACTCGAAGCCCGAGCTCATGGTCTACGACGATAGCAGCGATGACAGCGACAGTGCCCCCGCAGCGACCAATGCCAAGGTGCTCATGACGCCGCCGTTGGCCCCGCGCGCGACGGCCGACGAGAGCCCGTCGCAGCTACGCCTCTTGACGCTCAAGAAAGCAGCGTTGTCCAGCGCGACCAAGGCGCCCAAGAAGACGCCGACCAAGATGTTCAAACCAACGCCGACCAAGTCGACCAAGCCAACGCCGACGAAACCCGCCAAGCCGACCAAGCCGTCGTCGAATCAGGTCAACCACGTCGAAGAAGACGTGCGCCCGTCGCAGTCGAAGAAGGTGTTGCGGGAAAAGAAGGCGGGCCCCAAGCCCAAGCTCACAAAGCCCGCGTCTGCCAATGAAGACAGCTCCGAGGCCGACGAGCCCATGGAGCAGCAGCATCGCGTCAATCATGTCGAAGAGGACGTGCAGTCGGCGCCAGAAGAGTCGACGAAAGATGGCCCGCGCGAGACGGAGCCCGGCCTCGATAGCCCGGCGGCCCAGGTCACGGCCAGCGAAGGCCACCCCGAGCCAGACGATGTCGCGTCGAGCCCGATCGCCGCGGCGATGACAACCATCCCATGCACAGAAGAAGTACACCACACAGACGACGCAGACGAAGTAAATAAGTCGCTCGCGCGCCCCAAGAAGATCCGCAAGCTCAATACGGGGCTTCGGTCGCCGCCGCTGACGATGCTGCAGTACGACACGCCGGCGACGACGAGCGAAGACACGAGCGGCGACGACGAGCATGCGCTCGAGGTGGCGCCAATGCCATCGCCGACGCCGACCGAGATGGCCATGCCGCCGCCGCCGTCGGCGTGCTTGACGTGTATGGCGCGTTGCGATGCCGACGAGTCGGTGCAGCGCGTGCTCTCGGCGCTGCACAAGCAAACGAGCGCGCTGCAGGAGCAGCTCGACAGCATTCGCATGCTGCTGCAGCTGGCCATGTCCCAGCACAATGCGTCGCACCATGTTTAATACTATGTCGTCTCTTGCGTCATGGTTGTTGTTATGCATGCTGTACACGCGGGGAACGATTGCAAGATCGAGGATACGGGATAAGGTACGTGGGTGCATTGAATGGGCAGACATCCGATGCTTAACGACGAGTCTGCGACGACACTTAGTTTTCGTAGACCCAGGCGTTGCGCGAGGGGTTCCACTCGCAGACGCCTTCGGGGAACCAGAGGGCAATCTCGTGTTCGGCCGACTCGACGGCGTCCGAGCCGTGGCAAATGTTGCGGCCGACTTCGACGGCGTAGTCACCGCGGATCGTGCCGGGGGCCGACTCGGACGGCTTGGTGGCGCCGAGCATCTTGCGGCCCTCCTTGACGACGTTGGCACCGCCCCAGACCATGGCCACAACCGGGCCCGAGTTCATGTACTCGATGAGGCCGTTGAAGAAGCCCTTGCCGGCGAGGTCGGCGTAGTGAGCCTGGAGGTGCTCCTTGCCCGGGCGGACGAGCTTCATGGCGAGGAGCTGGAAGCCCTTCTGCTCGAAGCGCTTGATGATCTCGCCCACGAGGTTGCGCTGGACACCGTCCGGCTTGATCATGATGTACGTGCGTTCCATGGTGCGATTACTACGAGGCAAATTCCAAAGTGAGCAGTGGTGCGGAAACTTCCGGTCGCCATTTTATTTTATTCCTACAAACGCCAAGATGTCGCAGCATCATAAATTACAGATTCTCGTCCAGTCAACTCGAATCTTCCTTCGACACACGTGGGAAATACCGAGCGCACACGTGAAAAAGAAAAATGTCTAGCTATTTGTATAGAAGGCGAAGTGGAAGGTTCGAGATGCCACCGTTTTTCACCGTGCCCATGACGTGGCAGCACGAGCGCGCCGTCGTCCGCGAAGAGGATCGACGAGCGTAACGGGCGATGGGCGACGGGGAAGGAGGAACGAGGACAACGTTGAGGAGAGCGTGCGACTGGCACGCCAACGCCACCGCTGTACACGCTACATGGACGCCTCGTGCTGCAGATGGACACGAGCCGAGGCTGGCTACTCCACAAGGTCGCATAGATACGGTATCTGGACGAACGTGTGGCGTCAGTCAGGGGGTGCGGAGGCTACTCGTACCACGAGCGGCCGCCACCTGAGGATGGCATGGCCCACGCACGGGCAAGTAACAACCTTGGCGCATGCCCTGCCCAACGCCCGACCACGAGGTCGCCGTCGCGCCGCTGGACTCCATGGGTCGAGTAGGTGTAGCAGGTTCGATGCTGCGTGCTCGTGCTGCTAAAGACCACAACACGCGTAGCCCTCTGTCGCACAAAGGGTCTTCTTATGGAAGATGCTTAGTGCCCTGCGACCGAGTCGATCAAGACGGGGTACCCCGAGTCGAGCGGTACGTCTGGCGACAAGATGCTTTGGCAGATGACGGGGATGTCGGTGTGCACGTCGAGGTAGTCGGCGAGGAACACGAGGAGCTGAAAGTCCTTGAGACGGTCCACGTATGCGCCGCTTTTGCGCAGCGCGTTCTTGAGCGTCTGCCGCGTGCGGTAGCTGCCCTCGCGGTGCAGCGGCGGAAAGTCCGACGCGAGCGCCGACGTGTGGTTGGACACGGGCACGACGCACAAGAAAAAGTTGTTGTCGACCTCCTTCGCCGCCTTCATCTCGACCATGGCGGTGAACGTATCGTGGATCGCGCTGACCGCGGGGTTGGCCTCGTCTTCGACGAGCGCGCCAGCCGAGAACATGTCGAGGCACTGGTCGCTGACCTGGAAGGCCTCGAACGAGGCTTGGCCTTCCTTGTCCAGTGTCACCTTGACCGTCACAAAGGGCGATTTCGGGCCACCCGCGTCGAGCTGGAGCTGCGCGGCGAGGAGGATTTCACGGCTGGAGAAGTGGAACGTCTCGTCTTCACGGGGCGGGTGGGAGAAGATCCAGCCGACTTTGGCCCACCCGAGCGCAGCTGCGACGGCGTCGACCTTGTCGGCGTGCGGGTCGTCGTGCACTTCAAACCCGTACGGGTCGCCCGTCTGCGGCGGCTCGTAGATGCACTCGACGACGACCGTGGGCAGCGCGTCTTCGTCCTAATAAAGATGCTGCGTACAGGCAAGCACTGAGACATCTATGCTTGTCGTACCGTGGACGTGGGCGGTTCGATGCGGCCGTAGAGCCAGCCGCAGCGCGACTGCTGGAACGCAAACTGGCGCAGGTACGCCTGGAAGCTGTTGCACGACGCGCCGTCGAGGAGGACCTTCTCAAGGTACGGCTTCTTCTGCGCCTTGATCTTGAACTCAAACTGCGAGTCCATTTCCATAAACTCCGAGAGCGTCCAGTGCATCTTCATGTCCCGGAGCGACTTCATGCCCGGGCGGAAGCCCGTCTTCTCGAGGCGCGTGTCGTACGCCGCATGCGTCAGCGTGCCATCGGCGTTTATCTTGCGCTGGACCGCGCCGCCCGCGTTCGTCGTCGCAATGGCCTCGCCGTCAAAGTCCAGGTAGAGCATGTCGCCGTGGCCGACCTGCAGCGCCCGCATGGTCATGGCGTCCGCCAGCACGGACGACTGCTTCGGGTCCGAGCTAATGACCTGCCGATCGACCGAGAGCGCATGTTCCTTCTGCACCCAGCGCTTGATGTCGCCGACCGTCGACGCCGCGGAGAGGTCGGGCACGCGCCACGTCCCAGCCTTCGACCGCAAACGGATCAACATCACAAAATGGCCCCGATCGGCGTCGAAGTCGCTTTAACGCGTTTAAACCTACCCCGGGCAAGCCAGCGCGTGATCCGCGGCGCGTTCTCCACCTCGTCGCTATATCGAACCTCTCCTATAATACCCCACACACACGTACCAACGGAATCATGCGCTTGCGCGTCCTCGCACGGTCGAGTACATGTCGGAGCAAGCGTCGATGCTTGCTTGCTTGTATGGGGTCTCGGGCCACGACTTGTTTAAACGTTTAACGCGTTATGTCCAGAAAACGGATACAATATACGGATAAAAGAGGAGTGTTGGTGGATCGCATCGCCCGGCTGACCTAAGCATATACGGTAGTACTTTGCTCCGAGCCTCGGAAGTCCACGCCTTGTGCAAGAGGAGGCCACGTGCCTCGGCTGTGGTCGTGGTCGGGCGAGTAAAACTGCTTGTGCTGCGCTACGACGCACGTGGCTTGGAGGTGGTTTTGACGCACGTCTTTTATGGTAGCCCATGACGCGGTGGATGCCTGCCCTTGTCCGCGGTAAAATGACGTGACGGTGCATGTCCAATAACCTGGAGACGACGTGATGCTCGCCGAGTCGTCCAATCGATCGGGGAAAAGTTGTCTGCAAAATGATGTTGGGAACGTCCTCGGTCCAGAACCAATCCGGATCCGGATAAAATACGTGCGTTGTGGCGATCGTTCACGTAGCGGCAACCAAAACGACAGCGAATACGATACACTAGTACTTGGAGTTGCCGATGTAGTAGAGCCAACGACTAATAGTATTTAAGACGATCCATAGTGGTATTGACATTTGGTATACAGACGAATGACTCAATGCACGCGTTTTCCTAAACGCCTTAGCACGCCGGCTTGGTCGTCGGCGCGACCGTCGGTGCGGCAGCGAGCTTGGGGTAGACGGGCAGCTCGGCGATTTGGCACACGCCGTTGCCACCGGCACCGCGGCGGACGCGGGCGTAGCCCATCTCACCCCACTTGGCACCCCACGAGTTGCGCACCTTCCAGTAGTTGGTCTTGCCCTCGTTGCCGTAGCCCACGACGAGCACCGAGTGGTCGGACGGGGACCCGGGGCACGAGGTAATGACGCCGGACGCGTAGTGCTGCCAAATGTCATTGGTCGCCTCGACCATCGAGGCAACGGGCTGCTTGGCGACGACCGTCTCGAGCTTGGGCTCGCCCGACGCCCACGCGTGGCCGTCAATCGCGAGCTTTTGCTTCGGGCAGCTGGTCTGGCACGCGTTGTTCTTGCCGTCGGCGCCGGAGATGTACGGGTAGTCGGTCGCGAGGCAGATGCCCGTCTTGGTGATCCAGTCGATCGCAGTGTACTCGATGCCACCGCGGCAGCCTTCGTCGAGCTCGTCGCGGTCGCAGCTCACAATGTCCTGTTCCGAGACGTCGATGGGCGTCCCCGTCACGATGCAGTGCGCCGTCTCGACCGCCGCCGTCGTTGCAAAGACCCACGACGACGAGCACTTGCCCTGGTCACCGACGGGACCCATGCACTTGGTCGTCGACCAGTCCACCGTGCCGTTGGCCGCCCCGACGCCGCGGTCGACCGCCGACGCCTCGGGAGCGTCCATTTTCAACGAACCTGCTGTGTACGACCGCAGGACAAAGTCACGAAACTCCTTGGGTGTGTGGAGAGCGAAGCGGCCGATGGCAAACTTGGCTTCCGGCTGCGTCTTGGCGACGGCCGCGATCGCCGTCTTGCCAGCTTGAAGGCGCGCGAGGAGGTCGTTGGTGTTGGTCGGGTCCACGCCCTTGGGGAGGTACGCCGGCCCGAAATCCTTGTTCCACTGCGTGAGCTGCGCGAGAAGCGAGTCGTCCGCCGCGAGCACACTCGAGGCGACAAGGGTCGTGGCGAAAGCAAAGCGGTGCATGCTGGGCGTAGCGAGTTGGAATATGACCATTCCAGCAACATTGTTTGATCTCGTGTACTAGTACAAGTATCTTTTCGTCTGAGTAAATCTTACCCATGTTGCCGTCCACGTCCTACGGTTGGTTCTCAGATGGTGCTAATCCTGTCGAGGCCGTATCAGCTCAAGGTTGGATGTGCACAGTGGCTCAAAAATTGTTTGGGGGACTATGGCACTATGGTACTACTCGACTGGAACTCTAACGGTTGCATCGTCCTGATCCGTAGAGATGGTGGCGGCTGGTCAACACCGACCCCGATGCCGACGGAACAGCTCCTCCAAACACTCGAGGCAAGAACGGCGAGTGCTGTGAATTGCCTAGCGTTGAGGCGCATGGTCGATGTGCCAAGAATTGGGTGCTTGGGTCATTCCCGCATTGATGCAACGAGTCTGAGCTTCTGAGATGATCGTTTTCGAGATCAAATCAGGTTGGAGTCCAACCACGGCTCATGTTTACACCCTGGTTCACACCCAGCGCGTTGCGACAGATGTTGTCCTGCTCAGAGATCGCGGAAGATTCGACGTGAGGGGCTCCTGCGATGGAGACACATGGCTCATCCATCATATCGTGGAGCTCGATTTTGAGATGGATTGAAAGGTTGCTGTTCGTGTAAACACTCATACTCCTGCCTGCGGGTCCGGGCCTGCAGTAGTGGATTTCGTTGTATTGTGTTGGAGCGTGGAAAGTAGAATTGTGGGTAAAGTAAAGTCTAAGTGTAAAAAAGAGAGTATATAAGCAAATGACTTCTCATAACACCAGCGTCCGCTCACACCGTCTTGGAATAGCAACGGTGGACGTTCATCAAGAGCCAGCAACTCAAAACTCAATTCGAGTTTCTGGCCGACATCCCGAGTCAACGGACGTGGTCACATACGATCATCAAAGTCATTTGTGATGTCAACTTTGAAAACAAAGTAGAACTGAACGAACTTTAGAATTTGATCCTGTAAAAGTACGGTCTTATTTCCTGATTGTGACCGTATTTTTGGCATTGCTACGTTCCGAAAAGATTGCGTTCCTCATGTAGAGGCCTGCAAAACGCAAGACACAACAAATTCAATGCCGTTATTGTTGCATGTCGCGTGAAAATCCGCATAAAATCAGCTGGTTCCGCATAAACTAGCGTAAATATACGGTAAATTTGAAAATTGGAGCGTCTTTTTCAGTTTTACACTATCTGCCTCCATATATTTAGAAGAAACGTACTATATTAAATAGTGTACAATATGAAACAAGGATCAAATAGGATCGAATCCCGAAACAAAGTGCTCCAACTAGGCTTCTCAATACTGGTTACGGCAATCCCACCACGAAGCGCCATGGCCGAGCCAGCGGCGAAGCGGGCCGCCGAGTCGCCTGTCGCGTGGTACGACACACCTGTCGTCGTGCTCGTCCTGCAGTGTATACCAGCGTTCACTGACGTCGCTTCGATGCTCGAGGCGCTGCCGCCAAGTACCCGCACCAGGTCGGGCGCGGCGCTCCTAGCGCTGCATCGCCAGCATGGCATTCCGGGTGGCCACCTCTGGCCGGTGCTTGAGCTCGACCAGATCCCACACGCGCTTATGGACCTCGCCGTGTCCGCGCTGCCAATGGTGCCCACGCTACGCGTCTCAAGAGCGCAAGGTAACGATATCGTTGGCTCGGTCCATGTGTCCTTGGCAGCCTCGGACCTCGTCCGTTCGCTCGTACTACGCTCCGACCACATCTGCTCGCTGGCTACCTTTCTCGAGCGCTACGGACATGCGGTCGTGCGCATCACCTTGCACGTACGCGGCGACGCGGCGACTGGAGCGGTGGCCTCGGCTCTGCAGCACTGCACCGGACCACATCAGATGTCGCTCCACTTGTCGGTCGACGCCGCCGCAAGCATGACGCCACTGCTTGCGGCCGTTGCAACGCATGCGCTTGGCGCCTTGTCGCTTTGAATCGAACGCCTGCGTGGCGACGATGACGACGACGACGACGATGACGACGACGATGACATTCCTGTCGTGCCATGTCCGCCGATGCTGCTAGCGTGGCTGGCGCTGCCCACCGCCTCTTCTCTGCGACTTGTCAATGTGGCGTTTACCGATCCCGGGCCTTTCCGCCGCGCGCTATGTGGTCTTCGCCATCTAAAGCTCGTGCGTGTTCCTACCCTTCTGGGCGACGCTAGCGATGACGCGCCGCGCTTGTCTGCGCTCGAATCGCTCGTCGCCACCGATATCCGACTGCCCAGCGTACACAGGCTACTTTGCCAGCTTCGTGCAGACACGCTCACACGCCTCCATCTCAACGGTGCAAACGACTGGTCGCCGCTGCTCGCTGCACTCGGTGGCCTCGTCGAGCTCGACCTCCAAGGCGGGACCATGGCCACCCTCAAGCAGGTAGAGCCACTGGCGCGCGTACCACATCTGCGAGCGTTGAAACTATCGCAAGTCCACGTGCACGACAAGGACGCACCAACACTCGTGGCGTGGCTCGCTACCGCCGAGGCGCTGCGAGAGCTGCACTGGACGACGAGCGGCCTCGCGGTGCACGGCCCCGTGGCGCTGGCCCACGCGCTGCCTCGCTGGTTGCGCCTCGGCTTGCATACGCTGAATCTCGCCACCAATTTCATCGGCGACGACGCGGCGCAGGTCCTCTCGATGGCGATTGCCAAAGGCGGCCACACCCATAACGTCGCTTTGGATTTGAGTGCCAATGCGTTCAAACTGCCGGGTCTCCGCGCGCTGCTTCTGGCGCTGAGTGCCAGCGTGAACGTGTCGATCCGGCTCAACAAGCTCCAGCTCATGCGTCGGCACATCGAGGAACTCGATGCGTTCGCTGCCGTCCACAAGATCCAGTGTGACTCGACGACACGAGTGTACTCGGCGCCTCCTGCCGATGCGACACCATGGCGGCTCTGATCGCATGCTTGATCGCGGTAGAGAGACCATATTGCGCCCTGGATCCAACACCTCGTCGGGGCATGTGCTACATAGTACGTGCTAGTACTGTGGCTCCCATCGACCGGTGGTAGGAAGCAGAGACGGGATGGTCTGCAAAATCAAACTTTGGACCAGAAAAATAGAGTGCTGATTGTTTGTTGCACAACCCAACGATATCTTTCGTGCGCCAAATTCAAAATCCTTAAGTCCAAAATCCAAAATCCTTCAAAATCCTAGACATGGGTTGACGCCATTAGTAAATACCACCACGACGCTTCGTGACGCTTGGCGACGTTGTGGTTCTAAAGGCAACGTCTCCTTGCAAAGCAGCTTAAGCTCGTCCTTCGCGGGCTCCGACGCTGTCCAACGGAGAGTGCATGCGGCGACCTACACTCCAGCTCCCTCAGGAACCTCCTACTTATAATAGCCTCTATCATCGAATGTTCTTTTCGTCCATCAGCATGTGAAATACCTCTCGTAATACATATATTTGCACATTTGATATATGGGACAAAGCCTCGGGCCCAAGGCTGCTGAAACTCCACAAGCCAATTCGCAGCCAAGACGACGCAGCATGGACAACAAGTTCATCCCGCAGGTAGACGCCGCCTCTCGCCGCCGGCCCATGACGCATGGCCCATCTAGGCCATCGCGCTCGTGACGCAGGCGATCCAGGAAGACACCAACAAGAACTACGAAGCCGCCTTCAAGCTCTACAAGCAGTCGCTCGAGCACTTTATGATCGGCGTCAAATGTAGGACGATGCGCCATGGACCTGTGGTCATCATCTCCACGTAGATGAGAAGAACCCGACGTCCAAAGAGATCATCATGAAGCGCGTCGAGGGCTACATGTCCCGCGCCGAGCAGCTGCGCGAGATGCTCGAGGGCGCGTCCAAGCCCAAGGTCGTGCCCGCGGGCGGCGTCGCCGAAAAGTACGACCCTGTACATCATGCATGTACGCATGATGCTAAGGCCTGTCGCCTAGGGAAAAGGACGACGAAGAGAACGAAGATGCAGAAAAGAACAAGCTGCGCGGCGCCTTGGCCTGTACGAAGTAGATCTTTATCGCATACCGAGGCTCATGCGTGCGGATCGACGACGTAGCCGCCGTCGTCTCGGAGAAGCCCAACGTCAAGTGGGACGACGTCGCCGGTCTCGAAGCCGCCAAGGAGGCACTGAAGGAAGCTGTGATCCTTCCAGCGCGCTTCCCGCAGCTCTTTACTGGAAAGCGCCGGCCATGGAAGGGTATCCTTCTTTACGGCGTACGCTCCATCCTCGCATGTGCCTGGTCTCATCGTGATGCGTGTAGCCGCCGGGTACGGGCAAGTCGTACTTGGCCAAAGCCGTGGCGACCGAGGCCGACTCGACCTTCTTCTCCGTCTCGTCGTCCGACCTCGTCTCCAAGTGGCAAGGCGAGAGCGAGCGGTATGGCATCCTCAATGTTTGCCCATTAAACGACCAAATTTCGTGTTTAGATTGGTGAAAAACCTCTTTGAGATGGCGCGGGAGAAGAAACCATCAATTATTTTCATCGATGAAATCGACTCGCTTTGCTCCAACCGCTCAGAAGGCGAAAGTGACTCGACGCGACGCATCAAGACCGAGTTCCTCGTGCAAATGCAAGGCGTCGGCCACTCGCACGACGGCATCCTCGTGCTTGGCGCGACCAACGTCCCGTGGGAGCTCGACCCGGCCATGCGCCGCCGGTACCATGTCATATCCCGCGCGCAGGATTCTCATCCAAGCGGTAGGTTTGAGAAGCGCATTTACATTCCGCTTCCCGAAGTCGAGGCGCGCAAGGTCATGCTCAAGATCCACCTTGGCGACACGCCCAACACGCTCTCAGACGACGACTTTACCTACCTCGCCTCCCAAGCCGAAGGGTATCTATCGATATCTACGATAGTATTGGTGTCCTCAAATGATGACGACCCTAGCACGTCCGGCTCGGATATCTCGGTGCTCGTGCGCGAGGCCCTCATGGAGCCGTTGCGTCTCTGCCAGCAAGCTCAGTTTTTCATGCGGGTTTAAAGACTATTGAAGGTCCTAGCTCGTCGCTCACGGGTCGTATATGCGTAGTGTGACGAGAAGTGCCATCCCAACCGCAACGGCGCCTTCTTGACGCCGTGTCCCGACGACCCGCCGTGCCCGTACTGCCACATGAAGCTCTCTTCGGTACATGCCTGGCCTCTGCAGTGGACGAATTCAAAGCCGGGATCTAGTGTGGGAGCGCGTGCCAGGGCTGCAAGACGCCGTGCGGGCGCTGCGGCGCCTACCGCATGCGCCTGTACGATTTGCCGGAGCGCGGCTTCCGCGACGACCAGCTCAAGCCGCCCATGGTGTCCATGGTACGCTGATGACAGGCGGGAGGAGGAGGATGTCTCATGCAAACTCATAGCGCGATTTCAAAAAAGTGTTGGAACACTCGATCACGAGTGTCGCGCCCGAAGAGCTCAACCAGTTCGTCAAGTGGACCACCGAGTTTGGCCAAGAAGGCTAAGGCGTCGCTGCTTGGTCGTCCGAGACTCGAACCTTTTTTCACTAAACTAACCTACCCCTTGCCGCCGGTCGTCCGCAACGCTGGCCATTTTCAATTCACGAACCTGCCCTGGCCACAAAGTTGTACGACATTCAAACGAAGTCGCGCGCGAAGCATTCGTAGGGAGCGACATTAGAACGAGAGGCTAAGGGGTTCACACGCATCCTTCCATGCTGTCCCGATTGCAATGCGGTGGGATGAGGCGCGTCATGTTGCCGCCCAATGTTGTCGTGACCGACGCTGAAGACGCCAACGAGAGAGAGCTGCGCAATTACGAGCTCAAAACACTTCTCTTCAAGCTTGTGACGAGCTTACGTGCTGACGCGAGATGGATGCACCGACGACGTACAGACGCTCTCGTACGTGGGCTATCGGTCGGCTACGTGATGTTGCGCAGTCTCAAGAACCGCCCTCGCACAATCCTTCAGGTGGTACCAATAATGCGCTACTAGTACATTGGACGAGTAAGAATATCGCAATTGGTGATCGATTGCGTGAACCAAGTGCCCAAGGTCAAGGATTTCTTGGGCCACGCAATCCAAACCAATCCAAACGCATATTGTGAATTTCAGTCCGATTGCCCCTCGATTTGGGCAGCTTAATCGAGGTCGTTTTATTTCTAGATCGAGGTGGGCGGCGGATAAATCGAGGCTGAGCTGCACGGTGCAATAAAAATACTTTTGGGAGCTTGGCCTCGTAAATCGGACTAGTGCCCAAACAAGCAAGCCAATCAAAAGCGTGAATTCAGAAATTAAAATACAAATTATCATATTTATTATCAACCACATACGTAGAACTGGTATAATGGAAAATACTGTGTATAAAATAATGTAATTTTATAATCATTCTAAATCGAGGTTAGAGGTCGACCAGTGCGAGCCAGCAATAGCCATCACGACGGCGCGCGTGATGACGGTATGATGGCGCCTGCCCGCTCCCTCGATGTACGCTACTAAGGCGGAAGGAGTCCCGCTCCCCGCTACCGTCGGTGCCCAAGCCGACAATGCAAACGCCGGCCATGTACGCGCCCGACATGATTGTGGTCCAGTGCGACCTCCTCATCCAGTCGACGACGCCGATCGCGCGCAACTGTGTCGAGCTCGATGCGCACGCGCACGGCGCGCTCGTGTCCTTTCCCGAAGTCCCCGTCGTCTATCTTGGTGCGCATCCTCACGGGCAGCGCCGAGGACAACGACGCGTACACGGGCGTGCTCACGCCATCGATCGGCGAGCTCCTGCAGCCTTTCCACGTGACGCCCGACCCGTTTATCGCGCTCTCGTCCTAGCCAAGATTGCGTCGAACGAACTGCAGCAGTTTTTCACACCGCTGACCCTCGCTGCGCTCACGCAGCACGTTGGCCACGCACTCAACCTCTGCCACGTCATGCCCGGCAACGTCCAGGCACCTGTCGTCGTGCAGCTCTGCGGTAAACTCCGGCTGGACAAGAAGAGGTGTGGCTCCTCGCGACCATCGAGATGCAGTACGCGACAGGCACGCTGCGCCTCCAAGTGTCGTCGGGCGACGCCAACCTCGGCGACACGCTCTTCGATGCGCTTGTCGACGCCACCTCGAGCGCCCACTAGGCCTTTTGTAGATGATTCATGTAACACGCATCATAATGCTGATGGATATATGATGGAGGATGTGTCGCTTGATGGAGCAGATCTGGAGCAGGACGCAGGCGACGTACACAAGCGACTCGGGCGTCCCGGCGAGCGATACGCGATGTTCGTACTCTTCTCCCCTACGCATGGCCGCATGCTTATAGGAAGGAACGAGGCGCCTAGGATCGTACGTACTCTTTATGTGCCGGTCCGTGCGCAGCAGCAGCAAGCGCTGCTCCGACTCGAGTTCGAGGAGTTCGAGAGGAGGAGGAGGAAGATGGATATGGACAGCGTATGCGAGCGTACCTCTCTCGACGGGGTGCTGCGACTGCAGCGTGTGCATCACGTGGCTCACGAGCTTGCCGTCGCTCACGTCGTGGACAAAGCACACCTCGTAGACTCCGGCGCTGGATGGCTTGACCTCGTACGCGTTCCAACATCGGCTAGAGAATCGCCAATCCAGACCGGTTAGTCTTGAAGTTTGTATAGCGCTGGAGTCGGTTTTACGTCTCTAATTGCGGAAGTTACGTCTCCAAGCGCGGAAGTTGTGTAAACTTCCGCGCTTGGAGATTCGCTAATCCAGACCGGTTAGTCTTGAAGTTTGTATGGCGCTGGAGTCGGTTTTCCGCGCCATAGAGTCGTCAATCCAGGACACGCGATCCTAATTCGACGCCAAATAGTCGTTAGTCCAGGACTTGATATCCTAGTTCCACCACGTGTTGCATTTTATTAAAAATATTTCACGCCTCATTCAAAAAATAAATCGAGGTTGGGCTCCACATTAATCTAAGTCCTACCTCGATTTAGCTTTATAAATCGAGGTTTTGGTGCCTCGGATAGCCAAACCGACTGAAAGCCACAATACTATTAGTATGCTGGCTCGGTCCCGGCTACGTGTGTCACGGTGGAGTATGTGTGCGAAGGCTTCAAGGGGTAGTTATCGTAAGGATGTAGTTGGGTGCGCATCCGACTATAGCTGGTCAGTGGTGCGTGCGACCAAGTTGTCCATCTCACTGTAGACCACAGCAATAAATCGCAAAGTCGATTGATATG